CCATGCAAGATCTCTCCTCCCATCAATGTGGGACAAATTCTCAACACGCCTCCTCATGTGTGACGAATTTTCAAGTACAAATTTTCAAGCCTAATATGTTGACAACACAATGGGATGATGTGGAGCGCGTGTGGCCACAACACAACAAGGTGACGCGGAGCGCATGTGGCGTTTGGCTTCACGCGTGAGACAATTTGCTTTGATACCATGAAAAAAATTGAGGTTCCATCATAAAACAAATTGGCAATATAAGGAGTAGCCTAACATCTTATAAGCTCATGCAAGGTCCCTCCTCCCATCTATGTGGGACTAAACCTCAACAGTTACTGTATATAGTTGAAATTAAAAAATAATCTTATTAGTTACTATATATGGTTGAAAATTAAACATAATCTCATTATTTTAAAATTCCTTATTTTGAAATGTAAATTGCATTATTTAAGCATAGAGCAGCCACTAACACTGATGTCAAATGAACACATGTTATTGTTATTGACCTAATTGTTATTTAAGTATAAAACGGTCACTAACTCCTCTGTAATCTAAACCAAGTTTTTAAGCCGTCTAGGAAATTAATTGTCTCTGCACTAACTCACACCATTAATGTGAATCTAACAGTATTGTGAGAGAGATTGCATAAAAAAATTTCATCATGCATGTGGCATGTATCATGTGTCAATGTTACTGTTCCGCGCTAAATTTAATCACTTTATAAGCGAAGCTAGAGAGAATCAGAAACACATTATTTCATCCAAACTAGCATCGACCCTAATGAAGATGAAACTTTGCCAAACCTGCATTTCCATTTTCTTCTTCTTGCTTATCGGTCTTCTGACGAGCCAATCCGCCCTAGATTATAAGGCATTCGAGAAGATTCGGGTGCATATCGTCAACGGCTTCCAAAGCGAGACATTGCAAGTTCATTGTAAATCCAAGGAAAATGATTTAGGGGATCGAAATATCCCAGTGAACCAGGAGTTCAGTTGGAAGTTTCACATAAACATTTGGAGAAGTACTCTCTTCTTTTGCGACACACGATGGAGTCGAGGACATAAAAGATTTGATGCCTTTGCTGTTAGATACGCTTTAATGGATTACTGCAACGGGAATTGTGTGTGGAAAGCAAATGAAACCGCGATTTTCTTGCTTGATAATCGCAATCAAACATATATCGAGCTGCATAATTGGGAATGATGGTAACGACGTGAAATATATATATATATATACACACACACGCATACAGTGATCATATTTTAGAAGTGATGATAATCTGAAACCAATTAAAGATTGTTATATATTTTAATCTTTATTCCTCTATAAATCCTCCGTTTCAGAAATTCCAAAGCGTTTTCCCAAATCATTATATAACTTCCATGCATGGTATAATATAATCTTATTCATGAATCCAAATATCAAATTTGAGTTTCATGTCTTATATATGCAGTACTGTCAACGGGGCAAATCAGGGCCGGATTAGGATTTAGGGTTACACAATAATGCTATTTACCTAATTATATTGTTCAGTTTTAGCTAATTAAGAGATCAACACATTTGAAAACTTCTTGAGTTGTAAAGAAACTCGAAGTAAACTTTAGACATAAAAAAATCGGGCAAGAAATTTTGTAATTTCCACGTATTAAGGATTCAGATTACATCATGACCTTTTACACCAGGATTTCTGTATAGAATAACCAATGCTAGAAACACTTGAAGTGGATTAAGCCAATCCTTGCTATGTCCATGTTGGCTAAACTTGCGATGTTTCCATTGCTTAGACCACAAGGATTTGACAGAGGTAGAGATCGACTTCTTGTAGATTAAGGTTGTGTGAGCTGCTCAAACATAATTAATGAATTTGCTTATTTGGAATCTAGTCAATGGGTTACTTGAGTAAAAAACTTATGTCAGATTTTAAGTGGAGAAAATTGAGTTGCAGGGACTAAAGTCATATTTTCAGTTTATTTAATTAGCGTTAATACCTTGCAACATCATTTCCACATGTTTTAGAAACCAAGATTAGTAATTTTGCATACATACGTACGTGCACATATATTATTTTGCTTTACGCATCCATGTGACGTCACGTGCCAATTAAATAAGGATGTGTGCATAAATATTGACACAAATTTTTACTTTATTGATATCATGTGGCGTTATACCCATGTCATTAAGTCACCAAATTTTAACTGCGATATCCCATGTTCACTGTTTTTACATTTGTATACATGATCGAGAAAACTAGGTATATAAAAGGAAATATTTTATCACATAAACATTCATTTCATATTGTCTTTTGTATTCAACGATGCAGATAAATTATGGTTAAACTGAACGTGATCTTATTATTATGTTAATTACATAACCATACAAATTGCCTTCGTAAACAAAGCGCGTGCCTGCTGCTATGAAGCCCAACGAGTACTCCAGCTCGCACACACATTAAAAATATTGATAAAAAATTCTGCCAGGTGAATTCTCTTCACCCGTCCACGGGTGCCTGACAATGGAGTTTTCGTCGACGATGGATAATAACTCGTGGACGAAGAGCGCAGCTAATCGCATGAAGGGAGAAACAGGAGTTGGGACCAAAAAGAATGGAAAAATATGTTGTGAACATTGCTGCCATTGTGGAATGTGATGATGCTATGTCGATCTCTAGCTAGCTGGCTAGCTTGAACTTCGTTACAGTACTGGGAAGTAAGTGCTGTTGTTTCTTGATGGCTTATACTGATATTGATCGTATAGAGGATAGAACAGTGACATAAACAACTTAAGTGTGTTTAAATAGTGACTTATATATCTCTAACCGATTAGGAAAGTGTAAATTCAGATAGTAACTGGGAGAAAAGTATGAAGCTTACCTACCTAAAAAAGGATAACTAAACTCGCAAGGAATACAAAAAGGGAAATATAAACTGGCTTTCTGCCAACTTGGACATTTTTATTTCTGATGTTTTCTTCCTCCCAACCATTGCATGAATTGAACAGCTGCTTTCGTCCCTGTACATGTGCAGTACATAAAGTGAAGTGGTCAGCTCAGCTCTGCTGACTTGTAATCTGAGTTGGCATCTGGTCGAGTACACGTCTTAACTCGATGGTAGGAACGGTGACATTATTTATTTATCATGGATGAAGCTGATATAACTTTTAAATTAAATTCATCCAAAAAATAATAATAATTAAAGTGGTTACTTCAAGAAAATAGATCGATAGTCACTAATATAGTGGTACAAGATGAGCTGATTTAAAGTACTATGTGTTTTGAATCCCACATCGGTCAGAGGGAAATGAGAAAAGCAATTTAAATAGGATTACTCTACTCTAACTACCACCGAGGTATTTTGTGATAAAATCTCATACTTGACGAATTGGACAAGTAGTAATTACTAAGTTGGAGACAATATTGGTGTTATTGGAGTGGACCATTAGTCCATCAACCTGAAAAATTCAACACTATGGGTGCCTAATAATATACAAGTACGGTTATTATTTAGCCAGTTTGACCACATGGTGTGTTGTGAAAGGTGATAGATTTGATCATATTTTGTTTGTTGAAGCTTAAGCTGCGAGGTGTTAATTAAAGGTGTACGTAGTAGTTACTAGTTATAAACACTGATAAGCAATAGCTCTTAATTAATTTTCTTTTCTTCTGCATACAAAATCCTTAATTATTATGTTTAATTAACCGGGGAATTTGAGGCAAGGTGGATTTGAACTAAATTTTTTTTTGACAATATGCATGAGGCGTAATATATGACACAAGTTCATAGTTCTACGCGAAATACATGAAATTTATAAATGAAGAGACTGGGTACATACAAAGAAATTAAAGACACTAATTAAGCTGATTTAACTATAAACATTAATTAATAATATCTTGTACAGCAATACAGAATGTAAATACTTTTAAAATTGCAGCTGCTGGAAGCATGGAACGCTAATAATATTGATCCAAACCGGAGGGAGGAATCTCGCCTGGCCACGGCCACGGGCACTCAAGGAAGGGGTTTTCGTCGAATGTGGATAACGTCTCGTGGGTGAGGAAAGCCGTTAAAAGGAAGGAGAAGCAGGAGTGCAGACCAAAAATAATGGAGAGACAGGCGGTGATCATGGGTGCGATTGCCATAGATAATGATATCTCTGAAGCTTAGAAGCTTAGCTAGCTAGTTAGATCTTCGTTGCTGCAGACTGAGCTGTAATTTTGTACGTTTAGAACGATTTTTGTTTGAGTTTGATCAAATATAAAGATGGATCCCAAAAACAAGTCACACAAGTGTTTTTAAATAGTGAGTATAAAAGTACCCTAATTGACTAGGAAAATATAAGGTACCTTAATCGTTTAGGACAAATTAAAGACTTCCTAAAACGGGTAACTAAAATAAGGTGGTGATTAGGAAATATTTGTTTATTTTAAAGTACTTTCTAGTCTATTTTGAACTAGCCTAGGTATTTGTGGTTCAAGTAATTAAGAATGCTTATCAGTGCACATGAAATGCTCCATTCAAACCTCTCCTTCCCCAATATAACTTGTATTTACCGGAGTTAGAAGGAATGATCAGGTTTTGAGATTTGGTTGCAGAAATGATCAGCTTTAGTAACGACGACATATTAATTATATATTGATAACTCAACAATAACATAACAACCACGTAAGGATGATATAATAATAACATAATAGACATTGATCTTTTCTGCAACAAAATATCAAAAACTAATCTCCCATACTAATTGCCTTGGTATTTATTTGGTTTAATTGGATTAATAGGTACCGTGGGGATATGATAGTTGGAAGATGGCCCCTGTGGTGAAGACTGTTAGGATTTAGACCCAAAATTGAAAATTTCGTCAACTCTTCATTAATTTTTAGCACATGAGGCTCACAAGAGACTAAAAAGATGAAGTTAGCTTCACATGTAATCCCCACGTGCTAACAATTAACGGAAAGTTCTATGTTAGCCTAATATGTGCGGTCACATGCTAATAATTAACAGAGAGTTGATGGAATTTTCATTTTGGGTATAAATCCTAACAAACTTTACCACAAGGCTTAAATCGTTTTTTACCACATGAGCTATCTTCTAACTATCCTATTACCACACGGGGACTAATAATCCAATTGGGCCTATTTATTTAACTAGTCTAGCTTGTTTCTTAACTTGTTTCCCTCCCAATTATTGGATTAATATTACTAACACGAATCTCCCACCCCATTTTTTTTTTTCAAAAAAGCTTGTATTATGCGAATGCAGTTTGTGGGTTAGGCTCAGTTAGTTAGGCCGTCCTCCTGTATCCAAACAGAAACCAAAAATACTTGAAGCATCTTGCATCCTTCCTCTCAGAAACAAGTTCTCAGATTTGAATCATTTAATTTTTCATCATGCCAAAGCAAAGCATGCCCAGCTTTCCATGATTTTTTTTTTTTCAGTTAACATATGTAAAGAATATACACAAAAAGGGACCAAACCAAACTCGAAACCACATCAAGCCAAACATTTTTGTATTGGAATTATTCTGATTCCTGACTTTCACTATGTTTATTAAGAGCATATCCAAGAGAGTCTACAAAACTAAATTTATAGTGCCACGTATGATTTTTTTGTGCTACAACAAAGTTGTAAAATGAGTCTTTAAATTTGAAAAAATGTCCTATACTTTCTAAAAATAAAATACTAAAAGAAGGTCACACGTAGCTCCCACACTATAATCCGTAATGAGATACCTATAAACCATGAATTTGTTTGACTAGAAATTCGCCGCCATCAATAATTAAGATTGGTGTAAAAACCCACATTCCTACCCTAATTGAGTTACAAGCCCCTGCAGCCTTAAAGCGCTTTAAAAATAAAATAAAAAACTTAAAGCGGCTCCAGTGAGGAAAAAAAAAAAAAAAAAAAAACCCTTACTAGTGTTTTGGTATTATCAAAACAATTTAAGTGTTTGTCCAAGAAGCGCTTGCATTTCAAATAAAAAAATTGTTTTTAATAAAAGCGCTTAGAAGGAGAAGTTCTTCTCGTAAAAGAATTTCAAAGGGGTCATCCCCCGTCAGTGGCTTGTTTGCCCAACACGATATGAGTGTACATGAAAGGACCACTTCCAAACGAGCCTAAGCCCTACAACTGCCATGGTCACTTCAAATAACTCTTCGACCAAGAAAACCCAATTCCATATTCTTCTGGGTTAACAAACTTCAACTCCTAATCTCTCAATCCATAGGTTGATCAACAGTTTTATCAGCCTCGCAATTCTCTTGGTCTAAAACTTGATCACCTGCCTACCAGTAACTTTGACATTAAACAAGAAATTTTAACGCGGGACATTGACTTTAACCAAGAAATTTTAATGCAGGCCGTAAGCACAAAATGGCGATACAACGTTCTTGCTTCCCAAGCAATTGATCAATCAACGCGACGTGTAACATACGTTGGATGACCGGCTAAATCTTCCGGATTTGTAGTAGAGTAAACAAGTTTCCAAACCCTCTCCAAGCTCAACAAGGAGTTGGTTGAAAATTGAAATGGTTAGGTTTGGCAAGCGTAGCTATCAGCAATAGATTAGCTGCTTATAAATACAGAGTTTTGAAAACACATTAACTGTAATCAGTTTATCTTGCTGTAATTAGTTCTTAATCTTCATCTCAAAGTTTTCTTTCTCCGTAACTGCAATTTTAACAGAACAAAAAAGAGAAGTGAAAATGCAGATGAAGATTGAGAGAGTCTCTGAAGATCAATGCAAACCATCATCTCCGATTCCAGACAACCTTAAGAGCTACAAACTCTCTTTGCTAGATCAGATAGCTCCCATGTTTTATGTGCCAGTCATTCTTTTCTACTCAGCTCCTGCAAACATTGACGATACCACCATTGTTGATAAGCTGAAGAAATCTTTATCAGAAACCTTGACCAGTTTCTACCCTTTGGCCGGAAGGATTGAGGGCAATGCATCTGTGGATTGTGAAGACGGAGCTGTTGTCTTCACAAGAGCTAGAGCTAACATTTAGCTCTCTGAGATACTAAAAAGTCCGGAAATGGATTTAGTGCAACAACTTCTTCCACTTGATCCCTACAATATTAGAATGGACAAGGCAGTTGCAGCGATGGCCGTTCAATTGAACTTCTTTCACTGCGGTGGCATGGGCATTGGAATCTGCCTTTCCCACAAGATCGCAGATGGTGCAACATTGTCTTCGTTCCTTGATGCTTGGGCTACAAGGTCACGTGGTGTTTTTGAAAACATCACTCCCTCCCTAAATTCAGCCACCATCTTTCCACCTAGGGACAAACAAATCTTCATGCCATCCAATTTGATCAAGAGAGAAAAGTTCGTGACAAAGAGGTTTGTGTTTGATGCATCCAGCTTGGCCAAGCTGAAAGTCAAAGCATCCAAGGGTTTGTGCACGGACAGCCATGCTCCTACTCGTGTGGAAGCTCTGACAGCCCTTATATGCAAGTCTAGCATGAACGCAAAGATTGGTACATTGGGTAGGGGCAGGCCATCAATGGCGATATCCCATGTGGTGAATTTAAGGGAACGAATGGCTCCACCTTTGCCAGAGCATTCTTTTGGTAATATCTGGCGGGTTGCTGTTGCATCCATAATGAAAGATGAAAGCAAACCAGAGTTGCATGACTTCGTGGTTCGATTAAGAAAAGTAATAAGGAAGATCGATGATGATTGTGTGAGGAAACTGCAAGGTGAAGATGGGTTTTCACATGCTTGTGAGCCTCTAAAAGAAACGAGTGAATTGGTCTGCGATGGAGAGGTTGAGTTTTTCAGGTTCAGCAGTTGGATTAGGTTTTCCCTGTACAACACTGATTTCGGATGGGGAAAACCCACCTGGGCATGCATTAGTAATGTGCCCATCAAGAATGTTGTCATACTGTTGAGTAGTAGCTCGGGTGACGGAATAGAAGCATGGGTGACCTTGGACAAAGAAGACATGGTTAAATTTGAACATGATCACGAGCTTCTAGAATTTGCTTCTGTGGCACCAAGCTCTTAAACCTATGTAACTAGGTTTATGTCTTCCAGCCAGTCCTATGGTTCAACTAATTGATGTACATAGTTTACACATTTGTAAATTACCATCATTTGCTCAGGAACATGTAGCCGAAAGTACAAGTCCAGTAAATGCATTTTAATGATGAGTTAGGGCCCAAGAACATTCATCACAACTAAAGCCAATCAGATATATCAATATATTAGAAAAAAGCACACGCAAACAGATTCTTTCTGAGATCCATGGATAGTTATTATACATATACAGAAACGAGACTAAGTAGTTAAGTACTTCAAACCAATTAAATCAACTCCAAGTGAATAAAATTACCTGTATTTTGTAGCTTCTTTCATGTTAACCCTTATCAACTATACCTCTATGTTCACCGTGCTGAATACATAATGCAGCTTCTAACTCCTGTTTTGTTGTTTCGTGCAAATGGTATCTGTGAAAATCCCAGAATCACGAACTTCAATGCTGTGGAACGTTTCTCCAAACGTTAGGGGTGAAAAGAGCTGAAAATAGAGGGAAAAACAGACAAGGCTATGGACAACTATCAATTAGTGTTCAACCTTTCATAGCACACGGGCATGCAATGCTCCCACCCAATGATCCAAAAAAGCAACAAAACAGAAATATGAGAACTTCTAACTTCATAAGTATATCCCTCTACCATTAGCTTGGAGATGTCTGGGTTGGGTCCAAGCAGCTAACAACTGCTTCACTGCTAACAGCGTTAGAAGCAGCAATCTCTTCCAAGTGCTTCCAGGTGGCTGCATGTTTTGCTTTAACCTCCTCCTCTTTTGCTTCATCTTCTTGAAATTTGAGCAAACACTCCTCAAATAGCTCAGGATCAATGTCAGAGTAGATTTTACGGATGTTTAATGTCAACCTCCGTGCCACTTGGTTCCAGTGGTTGCGGCCATTCTTCTCCAAAGCAGGAAAGATAATGGGCAATATGACTTTACGGTTTTGTCTGATCAAGTCCTCGATGTGGTCATTGTTCCACAAGTACAAGGCCCTCTCTGCCACCTGTAAAAGCACACATCAGTCAGCTCAAGGTTCTTGGTCAGGATATACATGGAAAGTGAGCTTTACCTCCCTAAAACGATAACATTGTCAAAAGCAAATATTTCAGAAGAACTTACCTTAAAGTAGAATATGGAAGGAAATACAATGATAATGATCAAAGATATAAACAAGAGTAAAAACAAAACAAATAGCAGAAAATACTTATCAGAATCAATAAAAGGTGACACGCAAAACTTTTGGGAGTGCAATGGGAAGAGAGAGATGGGTTTCTTCAAACAGACCAAATATTTATAAGCACAAAGAAATAATAAATTAAATGAAGACCCAGCTCAATACCTGAAAGTGTGAACTGCTCAAGCAACGAGATATTTGGCGGAAGAGTGGTACCATACATGTTTGAAATTCTGCTGGCTGAGTTGCCTCTAAAGTTTCCTCGAGCTCACTTAGGAACATGACTTCCTTTGAACTATTTGTGATTGGCCAGTACTTTAACAGCCCTCTTATAACAGTATCTGCAAGCTTGCAATCTTTCTCGACAAACTGTGAAATGCAGTAGGACAACTGCTGATGGTACATTTGTAAGCATCTTGGTTTGTGAAGGGGGATCAGAGCCTGAACTAGGAAAAGTTTGTGTTCTTCTTTAAGCGGAAGAGCAAATCCATTGATTATACTGCCCAAAACCTCTAAAAACTCAGCAATCCCATTGTGCTTTTCTGTTTCAAAAATAAATCGGAAAAATATATTGTTGATCGCCTTCCTAATGAATGGGCGATGCACCATAAACTTTCCATAGACACGATGCAGAATTGTTTTTAAGTACTCCCTTTCCCTAGGATCCTCAGAATCAAAGAGATCCAATAATTTGAGAACAAAAGACTGATCAATGTACTTCTTAGCGACCTTTGCATCTGTCTCGGGCGATGCAACAAACCTCAGAAAAAGTTCGTACACAATCTGTAAGTGTGACCATGCAGGGTCCATCAAAGGCTCCTCCTCCTCCACATCAAATCCTTCTAAAACCTTATTCTCACGGGGCTGTGGAGAGAATGACCTGAACAAATTCACAGTCACGACCTTTACAACTTCTTGCACTATGATTTCAGTGAACTTTCCATTTGCAGAAGTAACATAATCTACAAGCTCTAGCAACGTCTGCCGCTTGATGTCTTTTTCTCTCAGATTTTTCGTTGGGTCAGTGAAGTCAAACAGCACACAACATAAGTTCAGCTTCTTCACAAACAAGTTATGCTTCTCAGAGTTTGGTACATCTCTAAACGCTGGAAACGCTTCATAAGAAGTGGTAACAGAATTCAGACTTGAGTTGACAAGTTGAGGGAGCTTACTTCCATGGCCATATCCTAAATTTGAATCAGAATCAAGGCCCGAAAGAGGTACGCTATTTGAATTAATTGGCCTATTCCCTACATCACCGCTTCTTGAACCTATAGAGGAAGCATTCAATGCAGGGGCAGAAGAACCCCCAAATTCACGATTCTCGGCTGACTTAGACGGCTTCCTAGGAAGCTTACCAATTAAATTCTTGATCATGACTTCAAAAACAAAAGACCCCAACCACAAATCGTGTCAAACCCTCAAAGCAGAACTGAACCGAAAATTTGATACCTCAGATAGAAGAATCAAACCAGATACACACTCAATGAGCAACAATCGGCACTATAAGAAATTGAAAACCCAGATAGAGACACCCATTTCCATAGGAAGATTAAACTACTCCCAGGAGCAAATAATCAAAGCAAGCAAGTTCCCATGTTTTCATGTATCATTCTCTTCTAGTGATCTTCAATTTCTCTACATCTCTAACAGTATAGTAGAAACATTTGACACCTTCTAAGGTCAAATTCAGTAACCCACAAGCAGAAACTGATTTAAGCCAAAGTCCAATAACGACTTCCCAAATTAAGAAAAGCTCGTCTTTAATCTACTTCCAGGTAAGGACAGCTTGAAGACTACATATATATAGATATATTTACCAAATCATCAGCTAAACCCAGTTAGCTCTGCAGCTGACACGATCTGGGTGCGATCTGAAACACAGAGATAGCATTCCACAGATATCATTAACAATGAAATAATCCAAGGGAAAGTGATGCCTAAAAGAAAAATCTAAAAGGGTGCGAGCCAAAAAGTAAAAGGTTACCAAACTCGAGTGTAAAAAGATGAAATTTTTATACTTACAGAATCAGCAGGAGTCTAAGCAGTGCAAGAAAGCAAGGAGCTTTTCTTCTATTAAATTTTGGGTCACAGAGAGAGAGAGAGACGAAGAAGAAAAGGTGACCAGGAGAACAGAAAATTCAACAATTTCAGTCCCTATAAAATCCAACCTTTGAGAGAGAGTGTTGAAAGAAGGTAAAAGTTGGGAAAAGAGAAAAGGTCGAGGAACCAAAGCTCTCTAACAAAAACTCTCTGTCTAACTTGGACTTGGAGGGAGGGAGGGAGAGCACTATGGATTGACACATTCAATAGAAATAAGCGTCGACAAATTTTTACAAGTCGTACTTAACAGAAGTAATGAAAAATTATATTTTTTAAGTTAGTAACTTTTTAACACATATATCTTATTATTTATATAATAACATATGACGTACCACTTCGTACACCGGTCAGATTAAAAAATCTATCCACCTCCACATCATTAGAGCGAGAAAAGTGAACATTAATCCCACCACGAGTGACTGAGTGAGAGCAACATGAAGGAAAAGTCAGCCAACTGAACTCACTGCCAACTCATCGAACCAGAATCTCTCCTTTGTGTTTTTTCCTTTTTTCTGGATATTCTTAAATCGTATCCATTCATTATACATTGTGCGGCTAGAAATTATTTTAAATATTTTATTTAAAATTAAATATGAACAGTAACTGACAATAACTGAACGTAAAATATATGATGAACATATTTAAGAATTCCCAAGATTCTCATAAAAATGATCGGGAGAGAATCCCCGTTCCTTTTGTTGGGATGTTTCCTGCTTGTTATTCGACTAACTTTTTTTATTGTTTTTTAAGAGATTCCAAAAAAGACCAATATCTTTAGTGGAGTTTATGATCATTATTACTCAATGTTTTAAAAGACGAAGGCCTTGAGGCATGAGGCTTTGCAATTAAAAGTTTTGAAACTTGACCTAAATTTTTATGTTTCAGATTTCGACAACTTTTAAACAAAAATGACGCCCCCAAATGTCCTGAGACGTGTCCCGACGAAACCTAGATGAGTTTTTCGCCGACTCTCCACAAAACAAAGGCAATTTTTCTCCCAACCAACCTCCAAAGCCACCTAGGCGCACCTTGGGGTGATTTTTTTAAAACATTGTTTTCGCTCAAGTAAGAGTTCTTATTTCACACATTACGATTTAGCGGTGGTTATATTTTTATATTTGATGAGGCAAAAAATTCTTAGAGGTAAAAGCATCTCTCAGCACACTTTGTATTTCGGCTGAGTCTTCGGCCACACAGTCAAGTTATGAGGCCGCCTTGACTGAAGAACTGTCCTGGGAGAATAAGTGAGCCCATCATGTCAAATGGATGAAAAAGTTGACATACACCATACATTGTACTTGTCTTCGGGTGCCAGTCGAGCTCAAGATGCACCGACGTTTAGTTGCACTACAAAGCCAACAAGTTACAAAGACGGAATGAGTGCCACTTTCCTCAAGATAAAAATAATGGTACTTGACCAAATTTGTTATGTTCTTCTCTTCAAGCCTCTGATTTGCTGATTGAATAATCATATTTTGTATCATGTAAAATATTTTAACCAAAAGAAGAGCTAGAAAATTAACTTTTAAACAAAACAATCAATGAGGCAGAATGTTTTCTTGGACTGTGGTTATCTGCCAGAACCATTTCCTAGCTACAACTACAACATACACAATGATCTCTGAAAACAAGCACCCGAACCACGTCACAGTGCTACAAATCCCGTTTTCGATTAACAGAATTTGATGTCATTGTGTTGTCAGCAAGTCTCTTGCTTCGGCTAAAGTGAGGTAGTGCTGGGAGGTGCTTTGCCGAAAACAAGCACAGGTTCGTTGCTCGCAGCTTTCTTTGCAGCAACTTCTTCCAAGCGTTTCCAAGTGGATTCACGCCGTGCTGCAACCTCGCCCTCCTTTGACTCGTCTTCCTGAAACTGGAGTAAGCATTCCTTGAAAAGCTCAGGATCAAGCTCATTGAAAATTTTTCGGACATTTAGGGTCAAGCTATGGACAGCCTGATTCCAGTGATTTTCAGCATTTTTCTCCAATGCAGGTAAGATAATGGGCAGTATAACTTTACGATTCTGTCTGATTAAGTTCTCAATGTGATCGTTGTTCCACAAAAATAAAGCTCGCTCTGCCACCTGACAAAACAAGGATTGCTTGCATCAGATTCAAGAATCAAAAGCTGCAACGAGAATAAGCTATTTTCTCACAACGAAAACATGACATAAAACAGAAGTAGGATTAATTACGCAGATACTAATGTCAAAGTTCTATATAATTGGCTAGTATAAAACTTCCTGAGAAGATACGATCGGGAATTCATTTCACATTTACTCGTCCACTGTGAAGAGAACTCATATGCATAACCTTAAGTTTACTTCAGCTCTATTTCATGCTGAATACTTGGTTAAACATTTTCCCAATTCATGTAGCAGTTCTTTAATTGATGAGTCATAATTTGTTTAATACATAATCATATCCTCAAGCCAACAACCCAAAGAAATGGTTGGGAGTTTGAGTTCAAGATTTATACCATATGGGATTGACAGTGACACTACGTTTTAAGTAAGAGCATCATAATACTAGTTTTAATGTTCTTGACTGACTTGCGGAACAGAAAAACAGAACTCCAAAGAGATTCAAAATGCTCTTCAAACATCTGAGACTCCTCCTTTTAAAGTCTAAAAATCCTATGTAACCAAAATGGAACATCCAACAAACACCCAAATTTTGTTGATGGAAAAACATGAAGCACCAAAATTTCCTGGGACATTATCTAGATCCTCTCAACAGCCAACACTTACAGAAATCAATCAAGCATTGTAGGACGACTTCTTTGACCCATGGGATCTATAAGAAACTACCAAGATTGAGCTTTAACTCTTGTGATATTCTATTTCTTCCTAATTTTGTACAGGCCTAATTAGAATCTCCAATACATGCAAAGCCATCGACTATCAGTCATGAAGTTCGCTGAGCATGGAATATTACTTCATTATTTTATGTTAGCTTATTTCAATCTTTATCTACTGCTCTGAGGTGGACCACCAAAATTGCGTCCTCACCTTAAAACGCCACTTGTTAGACCTGAGAAAGTATTCATGCATTCTCCTCCAAACATGAAATTACTGAAGAGAACTCAACAAATATGAATCTTCTTGACAAAAGTCCTAAAATAAAAATGACAATAAAGCAAAGGGCTAACAAAGTGAAATCCAACTAAAAAAAAATTAAGGGTTTTTCTTTGGCTGACAAAAAGGATACAAGGTTTTTTTTTTTTTGAGAAGAAACGGTAGTGGAAAGGATGCAAGGTTTAGATGGCTTAATTAGTACATTGACGATTAACAAAGAAAAACATAGTAAAAAAATCCCTCAATTAAAAAACAACATGCACGGAAAGGCAAGTACAACTTGATCACCCACAATATGGGAACCTAAGATATAGCTGCAGAACAATTTGGATTAATGAGGTGTCTAAATTTACCAGCCAGAGATGGAGAGAGAAGAAAATTTACACAAGCAAAACACTTAAAATTAAATGTATCACATTTAACATGGACAAGAAAGATAACAATGCAGAGAAGTCTTCCTGCTTGGAACAAAATAAGTGCACAACTTGAGTATCATGCATGTGGCAGACTAAACAAGTTATAAAGAGAAAAGGTGCACTAAACAGCTTATAGGAAAAACTGAAAGCAGAGAAAGAACCCGCTACCTGAAAGTGAGAACTGTTCAAACAATGAGCAATCTGGCGAAAGAGGGGAACCATGCACCGCTGGAATTCAGATGGCTGAGTTGCTTCCAACACTTCTTCCAACTCACTTAGGAACAATACTTCCTTTGAACTATTAGTGATCGGCCAGTACTTCAGTAAACCCCTAATGACAGTATCAGCAAGCTTGCAATCTTTCTCTACAAACTGCGTAATGCAGTAAGATAACTGCTGATGGTACATAGCTAAACATTTTGGCTTATGCAGGGGAATTAGAGCCCGAACAAGGAACAATTTATGCTCTTCTTTCAGTGGTAGAGCAAATCCATTTATAATACTGCCCAAAATTTCTAGGAGTTCAGAAATCCCATTATGCTTCTCAGTCTCAAAGATGAAACGATAAAAGATGTTGTTGATGGCCTTCCTAATGAATGGGCGATGCACCATAAATTTTCCATACACTCGGTGCAGTATTGTTTTCAAATACTCTCTTTCTCTAGGATCTTCAGAGTCAAAAAGATCCAGCAACTTGAGAATGAACGAGTGATCAATATATCTTTTAGCTAATTTTGCATCTGTCTCAGGTGATGCGACAAACCTTAACAATAACTCGTGCACTACTTGCAAATGAGGCCATGCAGGATCCATTGAAGGTTCCTCCTCTTCCAAATCAAAGCCATCTGCAACTTTATTCTCACGAGGCTGTGGGGTAAACGCCCTAAACAAATTTGCAGACACCATTTTTACAAGCTCTTGCATAAGAGCTTCTGAAAATTTACCGTTTGCTTTAGTCACATAATCCACTAGCTCTAATAGTGTCTGCCGCTTGATCTCCTTTTCTTTCAGGTGCTTTGTTGGGTCGGTAAAGTCAAATACAACACAGCACAAACTCACCTTTTTAATAAATAAGCTTTGCTTCTCCGCATTTGGAACATCTCTAAATCCAGGCAATGCTTCATAAGAAGAGAGCACGAAACCATTCGGCTTCAAATTTGCACCCCTCACATTCTTGTTGCTGTAACTTTTCACCGCGTCTGGAACAGAATTTCCGGGTGGGAGAGATGTAGTCAAATTCCCAGACTTACTGGTCCCCAAATCACTGCTTCTTGAGTTGGTGGGAGCATTCGAATACAATGTATCGCGATTCTCAGCATTCTTAGAAGAAGACTTCCGGGGAAGCTTATTAAGTATCTGTCTCAACATAGTTCATACAAACAAACAAAACTCCACCCTCTCAAAGCACACAGATATCTAAGGTTCCAAAAGCTTTCTGCAAAACCACTCCCGGCCGACTGAATCACACAGCTTTCGTGAACAATTATAATCTTAGGCTACCCAGAAGCTTATTCTATGCCTGTATTTCTGAAAACAATGCACTAAAGGGGGCCAAGAACCCCCCTTTTCATCCGAAAACTAAAACCCGACTCGCTTATCTAACACAAAAGATCACACCAAGCCCTTATTTTCCCAATCTCAATCACTTAACAAACAAACTCCCCTTTAGCTTTCTGCCCTTGTTAGGAAAAACAAAAACACCCCACAAAAATTCAAACTTTCTGCTAAAAATCCAAAACCCAGATGCCAAAATCCACTCTAAACTTAAAAAAAATCAGCATAAACTTTCCAGATTCAATTCACGAATCCCAACTCCCTGCCCTGTTCATCCAAATCAAAAGAGGAAAAACACAAAAATCAGAGTGTGCAATCACCACATTATTTCCCAATGCTCAAAAAACAAATTGAATAGTTACAAATTTAAAGGAAAAAAAAGAGCAAAAGCACATGCAAACAGGAAGAATAAACAATTACCCAGATGAGAAGAACGAAGAATTTCAGGGTTGGGTGACAATACTAACGAGTTTACCAAGGGAGGGACTCGGCCTTCGTTATTATCCACCTTCATTCTCGTTGTAGTTTGTTGACTGAAGAAATCAAATAAATAATTGTTGAGGTTTTATTATTACTTTTCCGCTGCTGATTTGATTGACTCAGTTTATATTCACCTTTGCCTCTCTCTCTCTGGCTTTTTCTTCGACTCCTTTCTGGGCTTCTTTAGAAAGTCGAGTCAAAACCAAAATACACGAGCCGCATATTTAATACGCATCCATTCCATACCGTACCGTGTCTTTTTCTTTCTGAAATTAGGATATTGTTTTGGGTCGTTTTATTAAAAGTATCTAGTCTAATAAGTGAAACCAGAAATCAAATCATTTATCGATCTAGTAGTATTTTTTTTCATTTATAAGTAAAAAATTTTAGATTAGGATTTCGTACATATTGAATTCGATATCAAATTAGATTTCCTTTAATGTAAAACTAATCTCTTGCCACACGCGTACGCATGTGGCAATTGATTCTTTTGATTTTTCATTTGAAAAAGCCAAAAACAAAAAAATAAAGTAATATATTTAAAAATAGATAAAGTTAGTTACAGGAGTGATTTTTTTTTTTTTTGTGAATTTCTATTTTATTTGAATATTTAATGGGAGAGAGCAATTTTGAAATTATGAATTTTTCACCATTTTTAACTTTTCCCTTTATATGTATATAGATATATTATTGTACTTAAAAAATTAAAAAAAAAAAAAACAGTGGTAGTTGATTCAATTTTTTTTTTTTTCTTATTCCTTAGTATGGGTTTTAACCTTGTGTTTTTCTTTTTAAACAATCGAGAATGTATAAACTAAGGAAAGATGACAGACTTAGCCTCATAATAAGTTAGTAAGAATGTGATTTAAATTCGTTCTTAATGAGAATCGAACCTTTAAAAGTAAAAAAAAAAAAAATAGTATTAAATCATAGCACTAAGTGGCAATATGTGTTTTAACCTTAGAAACCCTAATCCAAGAAAAGCGATGTTGCTTCCTAATTTCGTTGTGCGGGTCAGAACGAGCCACTCTAGCTGTCCAAAGTCCTACTTTATGACGAACTAGTCTCCCAAACACCATAGAAGTCTTTATAATGGAAAAAGAAAAAAGTACCAAGAAATAATTGTCACATAGTTATACTTCATCCATCTCAAGAGAGAGAAAAAGAGCGGCGGAAAGAATTTTTTCAAACGTGACAAGAATACGAAGCGGTATGACATATGTATAAGTAAAGGAAAGTAATTTTTCAATGTGCCAAAACAAAGACGGTAGTCATATGTTGTTATACAAGTAGAAAATTATTGTTTTTTTCAAATTTTTCTTTACTTGTATAATGACATACAACATTTTTTCCGTGTTCTGACACCCAGGCCCGGGAGTGGTAAGGAAATATTCAATCTTCAACTCAGAGAGCTACACAAAGTCAACCGTCAAGCACGAGGTGTTCTTCTGGATTAGTTAGACATGGCAAGTTGTGATTAAATTCTGATAATGCCCATAATTTTTTCATTTTAAAATACTAAATTATTGATTAATTTGAATGCAATAGCATGCAAATAAGTTTTTAGTTATGAACAGGAAGGGATCGTGGCTTAAGCAACAAGTCTTATATATTAAAGAGAGACGAATAATTACAAGAACGACAGTTGCTGGCTTTTCTGGAGCGACCAAAATTGCAATGCTCTAAACTTAAGCAACCTACAACCGCAAGTCTAGCCCTAACCTCAACAGAAGAACTCGTCGTGACGAAGATTGACGTAAACACAAGAGGTGATTATCATCTTGAGTACAAACGAGATACTGAATAATGTTACCGGAAACCAAAACCGCAAGATGATCTTGCCTTATCGGAGAATAGGGTAGGCAAGTTCCGTCTGCATTCACAATCGGTATTGTGATTTGCTGTCGATGAAAGCTTGAATTGATGGTTCTCTCCCAAGAAAGCCAGTTAACGCATCAATGGGTTCCCTTGATCCTCCTGGGGCCAGCACCTGCAATGACAATAATAACGAAATAAACAGAACGGGATTAGACTACTCCGATCTTAATTAAGAGATTTTGATGGAGATGAACGAGTATGAGGAGAAGAGAATTTTAATCAAAATTGGCAACACTTCTCTCTCTATCGAGCAACTTCTTTACCTTGTTTCTGAACTGCATGCCAACATACTGGTTCAGATAACTCTCATGAAACTTCGAAGCAAATATATCAATCGCAAAAACCTACAAGAAAGGCATCAGCGCTGGTTGTTGGAGAATCACGGATGATAAGGATGAAACTCTAAAAACGTAACCATTGAATTGGGCAATACAACCACAATTGACAATTGTTATTACAAACTTGGGAAACGAAGTAACAAGGATATGTTGCTTGACTATTTTCAATAAGTGACAAACCTCACTCCAAATACGGCTGTAACAAGCAGCTTCGTGACCAATGGCGCTAGATGGAAAACGTGAAGCAGGACTGACATCTTCTAACATTGGCAACCCTAACATGATCTGATGAAAGAGTCAATAATACCCCGAAATGCAACTTCACAAAGAAATTACTGGAAACAACTACATACCCTTGGATGAAGATGCTTGAACAACTCAACCATGTCAACGTTTTCAGTAGAATGTATAATTTGATCAAAAAGACCTGAAAATATAACGACTTTTAAGTTTACATAAAAAATTGAAATATCTGATTCACCAAAAACAAACGATAATTCGACATTTCAGGATTTTTTTGTACAAACATTTTCGAGAGATCCAAATCAACACCAAACCAATAAAAATACAAAAGGTTCTACCAGCAAATGCTTTCCAAGGTCAAAAGCTGTCTAACAATTTTTTTTTCCTAAGAAACAAACACACCCTTAAAAACAATTCTTTGAATAATTAATGAGGTGCAGCTTCTAAAGTTAGAGTACTTACAATAGAGAATTTCTTGCTTCAATTTAAGCGCAGAAAAGGAATATCTCCATCTTTTAATGGATTTGCACATTTCGTCGTTGATAGGCTTTGTTATATCCTACATGTAAATTCAAGGTACATGATACATCACGCAATTTAACTCATTCAATATAGCTGAAAAAACATGAGAGATTCCCTTTGGGAAGGGGAGAGAGCACATTGATTTCCAAAGCATTTACCACTTTAATTTAAAACAAAAATATTAATAAAACGTGTTACCTGATGGAAACCAGATATCAACTTCAAAGTGAAGCTTTCGTAACACCTGAAAATTACACAATTAAGAAGCATTAATTTGGGCCATGCATATTCCTAGAAAAAGGTACAATATGATCCATTAAATACCAGTTTTCCAGCACCAGAGCAGGAACCTCTACAAAATCTGGATCAAAACCCAGCCCGGAAAATCTGGCAAAGGATGCACGATTGCATATATGTTGGACCTGAAGGTTTATAATTCACAGAAGAACCTGTTATTTATGGACTATAAATAATGGAGCCAAACTCAGAAGAATGATGTTCCAGGCTGAATCGATTTCTATTTTCTACAATCAATTAACTATAGCAGGGGTTCTTTTCAATCAATTAAACATCTTTTCGAGATTCGTCATTTCAAACTTAAAGAACTTAAAGTAAGTTCCAGTATGCCATCATTGAGACATCATTCAATAAAGCTAATTTTGTTCTCAAAACATCTAGGAGACCCGATAACTTATTCATATTCTATTTGACTATTAGATCTTCACAAGTATGCAGGTTGCAAGCTAGTGGCAGTTAAGGGACACCACCCAGGCTTAAGTTAGAGTGGATCCTTGGAAGTAGGTGGACTTTACCACCAGGCATTTCTCGTAACAGCAAAGCCTTTGCACTCAAAGTCCCTATTTCAGCAAAGTTCCTACTCGTAGAGCAACATTGTGGAACGCACTGCCAAAGGCCTTAATCTCTGCATCTTAACAAGGCAGAAACTAGGTATTGAGGAACTTCTCTGTCAGTAATGCACTTCATACCATTCACAAGTAGCCATCTTTCCTATGTCATCACACTACATGTGCATTTCCTGACCTATTTAAAGTCCTTTGAAGGCTGTCAAAGACTTATTAACCGCTTATGAGTTAGTAAATATGGGACCAGTAAAGGATGAAGGTGGGTAACAAGGGTGCAGCATTTTGAATTGCAATGATTTATGCTTACCAGAGAAGAGTTTCTATAAACAAATAACATGTAGCAAAGGAGATTGAAAGTTCTGATGATTACTGAGAAATTATGTGAATGATAGAAAACAACATACCACATGGCCAAACTCATGGAAAAGGTTCACAACTTCGGAGAATCTCAGTAATGCAGGTTGACCACTAGCATCCTTTTGGAATTGAGATAAGAGTAACGCCACTGGAATCTACTTACCAACAAAAACCAAGATGTAAGTTAATAGCACAGATCAATGGCTTTTAAAAATTTCAATTAACATGATTCGCTACATTAATATGACAATTAAATATCTGAACTACTAATATTTATAGTCATTTTCACTCAATCACGATGAGAAGCAGTGCATCGCATACAAATGAGAAGAAAATTGGAGCTTTACACACACAAATGTTCTTGTAAGAAAAAAGCCATGATCAAAAGAAGGTTTCAAATCTATCTCAAGGAGACGAGATCACTCACCAAAAGCAATATTTCTTTTACTACAGCTATTAAATATCAATTTCCTTCTGACAACAAAAGCTTATATTACACGGATAATATTTATGATTACAAACTGGAAACACAACCTGACGTGATCCATTCGTTGATGATGCACCATTTTGAAGAGCCACCACACAGGTATGATTATATTTTCTTTCCCTGTTCACAGACAACATAAACCATTTGTTAGCAACTCAAATAAATAAATAGAGAAAGATTTAAAATTTTGAAGGAAGCACTCCTTCAACCTTGTGTACATATCGAGGTAGAAATGACCCAAAAGTTCACCAGAACTTAAGTCATAGACTGAGTAAACGGAAACATCAGAATGCCAAACCTCAGAATCTTTAAGTTCTTCAAATCTTAAACCTACACAAGAAAAATAGAATTTCAACTATCACTATTATCTTTCATGAAAAGAATAAGTTTATGGGATATATTAAAGTATCATGAAGAATTACCAAAAAGGTCTTGCACTATCTTGAAGACCCCAGATAGAACCAAGTTTACTGGAAAGTATTGTTTCAGAGCTCCAATGTCCATGTTAAACTGCTGTGCTTCAGCCTTCTTGACATAATATAGCAGATCCTCAATTCCAAACGGATGGTCTCCTTCCTCTTTTCTCTGATACCACATAAAACACAACACAATCAGCCATGATATAAACCAAACCACTGGGAAATGCAAAAGATATTCTAACCTTCAAATCTTTCAACATGGAAAGCTCCGTGGTAGCCTGGTCGGTCAAACTATTGGATATGTCCTCTAAGAACTCAAAAACCTGAATAGTCACACCCACAAATATGAGCTACAAGAAATAATTGCAAGCAAATGGAGTGAAAGATGGTCCCTATAAAAGAACAAATGGACATAAATGTTGAAGGTTAGTCAGTTAATCTCTTATCCATCAGGCCATAAAATTTTCTACTGTTATCACACTACCTCAAAAATAATCCAACCAAATTGACATAGAACAGAAAAACAGTTGAACCATGAATATCTTAAGAAAAATGTAATGTCATACAAACCTTTGAGGGTGCTTTTGCCATTCTAAGACCAACTGCATAGTCTGCATAACTTGCATAGCCAAGTAACCGAGCAAATTTATGGCGCAGTTGGACCTAAACAAGCAAAATATCAGACACAATTGTCTTCATCATAATTCACAACATAATCATAGTGAGATATGTAAGGAAACAGAAAATCAATGCTACCTAGAAAATTAATGTCAATACAATAAATTTCTTTAAGGAACAAAAAGAATAATGACAGATTTTAGTCACCTAAGCAAAACCTATAGAAAAATGTCTTACCAGGAAAATTGAACTTCCTAAAAAGTATTTAAAAATTGGAGTTAAACTAAAGGCTCGCTGTTTAATTCAATTTTTGTAGATCTACAAGACCAAAATTGATTTAAAGATTGATTATCTAGTTGGAAGTAAAACAATCAGGAGAAGAAAAAAAATCTTTTACCAAATCTTCTAAGATAGAAAGATTGACTTCTCCACCCCTCTTTCCATATGCCACTGCAACTTTCCTCCTTGTTGTTCCAACCTTCACAAATGCTCAAAATGAATTTGTCAATGACATTAATAAAGATTCTGAAATCATTAAACAACACAAGAAACTAAATGTCAATGTTGACAAATTTTTTCTGGTGTTGGAACTTGGTGCAAAGTCCAGAAATACACAATTGCCTTAAATATGAACTCAGCAGATCATACCTGACAAAGTTCAAGTACTGCTGCCACGTGATGACTTTTCAGAGTCACCTTGAATTTACCATCTGCAACTTTGCCTAAACTCTGCACATGGAAATTTTTTATTTTATAAATGAAACATGTTCAGAGATTTATTAAGAGACAATGTACATAGTAACAAGCTTATTTACATTTTACTTAAAATGATTGTTCTGTATTTATGTGAATAAATTATAAAAATAGCTACGCAAAAGATATTTTTCACAAGTTGGCAATAAATGATGAGTCAGTCAAGACTATGGAAAGAGCTTTAACCGTTGATTCTGTCAGGGTAAGTAAACTTGCATACAGTGGCCTCCATGAAGGTAAGTTTGCACAAAAAGAAAAAATTGAGGGAAAAATTACTACACCTTAAGAAACTCTGGTGGTAACCCAGCCAACTCAGCCTCAATGAAGTGAAGGAAAGTACTGTCATCATTTAAATTTTGAATATACCGCAAACTTAGCTCATCGATTTGGACTCTCACGCGTTGCATTTCCTCTGTCTTAGTTAAAGTAAGATTCAACCCATTGCGTTCAAAGTCTCTCATCTGTCACTGATTGGAAAGGAATCAACATCCAGCAAAAGAAAAAGAGAGCCTCAAGCAAAATTATCAGGACAACATATTATTTTAAAGTAAACATAATAGACAGAGAAGGAAAAAAAAAAAACCATAACATAAAATAAAATAAACTCTACAAGACATTCTTACTCCTTACCAAGGCCTGAGTATAGTGCTTTGCTTCAGCATTCACCCACTCCCCTCTTGCAGCAAAAGCTTTGACGACACGGTATACATCTTCACGCTTGCTGTTCAGTTTGCAATATACAGAAAGATGTATTATTTATTTCCGCTAGTCGTTAAAATCTTCTACATAACTTTCTAGTTCGGTTCAATGTTGTTGCACATGAGATATATCAAATATATAACCACACAAAACACATATAAAGTTCAATATACTTTCAGAATTAGGGACCATCATCCATTAATGAATCATACCTGCAAGTCAGAACATGGGCATCTATTCTCCGCTCTGCTTCGGCACTTGCTTTGTGAACATCATCAGAAGTGGAAACCATCTTAGGAAACACACAAGACTGGACTAGTGGAAATTGTTGCGCCTCTAGTTCTGCTAGAGGTGAAATAACATTCATAAATGTAACCTGTACAAAACAGCCGGTATTAAGATTAGCTCATATTCATCAAACAAAAAATGAAACAGTTTAAAAATTAAAACAGTCACTTAAATTCTGTTTGTTCGCTAAAATCAATATTGTTACAAACGATAGTATACCCTGAATCAAATTTGAGAAACGTAGAGCTTTCCAAGCCAGATTAGTTGCATAAATTCAAATGCAAGAGCTGCTGAGCTGGATTTCATACTAAATTTTGTGAATTGCTTTCAACCAACTAACCGTATCTAGTGGAACTGAGCAAACCGGTATTAAAATCAGCTCAAATTCATAAATTAAAAGAAAAATCAACTCAATTACTCACTGAAATGATGGCTTCCGCATGAAAAATATAAATTCATGCAAATTAAACTAATTTCTAAATCGAATTTCAGAAATGCATGACTTAAACGAGCTTTTGAAACCATACTAGCGACATAAATTAAATTCAAATGCGAAAGCTAGTGAGCTAGAATTTCATACTGAACTGCGTGAATTGCTTACAACCTTATCGAGTGGAACCGAAGCAACCGCATCGTGGACCTCTTTCGACTTGGAAATGATTCGGTCCGCCAATTTCAAAATTTCGGACGCCGATATATTAACCCGAACCTTAGAGCCCTGAAGATCTGCAAGAACTCACAAAAGCACAAAGTGAGAGAGAGGGAGAGAGTAAACGAAAAGACTGTTTGGCTGTACGGAAAACGAAAATCGCAGGCAGAATAGCTAAAGCGTGCGAATAAGACTGTTCGGCTGTCAGGAAAGTGAAAAGAAAATCAATGAGTAACGAAGAAGAAGCCTTACCTTTCTTCCTTCTGTTCTTCATGTGAGCGTTGAAGGCGGTGATTCCGAGGTTAGCGGCGAGGGCGAGCAGAGCAGCGGCGCCGCCGAAGGCCAGGAGGCTGCTGCGTTCCCGTTTCTGTCTGGGCATTTTCTCGCCGTTTCCCGGAATTTCCGTCATTTGTTTGTGTTTTTTTCTCTCTCACCGAACGGCAATTGCGAGGGAGGGAAACTATGTGTCATAGACTCATAGGCGGAAAAGAGAGGCAATTGGTTGACCCAATTTTAACAAGCCGGGCGATATAAGTATTTTGAAATTGTTGGAGGGCTATCGTTATCAGATGGCGCAATCTCGGCCCTTGCTTTTCCTTAAATTTGGGGTTATTAAATTGGGGAATGGGTTTGGGCCTTTGAATGACCCGGTTTGGATCCAATTTTATTTTTGCAATTTTTAAAAAACAATTTATCATTTCTATCAGGGAGGTGGAAAACGACTTCGAGACCTCGAATGCAGAAGTGCATGCTCTTGACTAATAGTAATGGAGCTATAACTTCATTTCATTTGTTATCCGCACTTAAAAATACTAGTTTCAAATGTAGAAGAATTATAATCAGTGATTCTAACACTTATATTTTAGTTTTTGAATACGTTTTTTATTATCACTAGACTATAACCACTGAAAAATGTAGATTATTTTTTTATGTTTTTTCTGTAACGTTATGAATTGAAAAATATGTTTTTATTATATTTTTGAGTTATGGTTGAGGTATGGGTGGGTGAATTTTGATTAGGTGTACTCCATAAGCATGAGAGTAGGTAGATAGGTGTAAGTAGTTAATTAAATATATTATTACAAATTGTGGATGATTATGAATTGAAAGTTTAGTAAATGGTGATAAAGGAGTGGGACCCTATGTTAACCTGACAGGATGAGGATCTTTTATGTATGAGCTTTGTGGGAATTTTCGAGATCCTCACGTTCTAACTATTTATCGTACATGTACGGTTAATTTTTGTTAGGTATTATTTGTATTTAAATTTAAATAAAAAAATTCAAATAATTTTTGACCATATAATATACAATGAATGGTTAGAATGTAAGGATTTTAAAATCCCATAATTTGAATTCGGATGGAATCCAACACATGTTGTACACATGCAAAATGTGTGTCATATTATATACCACAATAAAAATAACATCTATAACGAGTCATTATGTTATCCAGACATTAATGTTTAGTCTTTTATCTATCCACAAGTTTTTCATTCAAATTTAGATTTTAATTATCAAGATATTAGATTTCATAATCTAAATAGGCGGATCGACGCCTATGCCACATCTAGATGTAAATATTTGTGTTTTTTTTTTTAAATTAATTTGTTATTCTTGTGATTTTAATTCGTTTAATTACGTAAAGAAGAAAATGTTATCAGTGATTAAAATGATCATCATGCACTAGTTTATAGTTATAAAAATTAACTAAATATGATTATTTCGAATGATAATAATAATGAATTATAATTTTGCAAGGAAAGGATGCTATTTTTCCTTGGATATCGCTACGCACATACCTTTTTTATCTCTCGCACATCTTTATTGATATTCTTCAATTGGTTCAATCAAAATGGAGTGTGTGATAAGTTAAAAAATGTGTGTTGCACAGCCATTTTCCATTTACAAGGAACTCCCTTACACGGGCCCGTCATTTTCGCATACAGTCAGACTAAAAATTGGACCTTGAAGCCCAAAAAACTGGATTTGAATGGCCCATACCCGACCCGTTGGACCCTGAACTGAAAGGAGTGGTCAAGTAGTCCATTCGATGGTACCACTCAGCCGAATCCGATACATTTCTACATTTGGACACTTTTCTCTCGTCTGTTTGGCAAGCGAGAAAATCCAATGCCTCCGAAAGGCAAAGACAAGCAGCGCGCCGCCGCGTCGCCGCAGCAGCCGCCGCCTTCACTTGAAGATCTCTTCAGCTCTCTCAATAAGCACATCGAGGAATCCGAATTCGAAAATGCCGTCAAGGTTGCAGATCAAGGTTATAACCTCCTCCTCGTTAATTCAATATCTCATCTCGTTTTTCCTGAAATTTGGATTCTAATTCCACATTAAGTTGCGTAATTGTGATTTTTCTTTTGGTAACGTATCGCAGTTCTCTCGATTAACCGTGGCGATGAGGACGCACTTCGATGCAAGGTCGTGGCCTTGATCAAGGCCGACGACATTGACGCCGCCCTTTCCACGATTCGATCTTCCAAGAGTCCTCCTGCGGATTTCAGCTTCTTTGAGGTTCGTAACTTCGATTGTTTCTTAGCAATCAGCTGTAAATTTTGGTTATTTTCGCTGCATTATGTTACTTGTTAGTTATTAAGTATTTTCTGTTCAACCATTGGTTATGTATAACTAGTGAAATGGAAGATAGCTGGTGATTTAGAAAAAATTCAATAGCATAGTTACATTGGCACTTCCACCGATATGGTACAAACCCGTGATTGTGGTTGGTACATTGTAAAAATCAATAGCATAATTTCATTGGCATTTCCGCTGATATGGTACAAACCCGTGATTATGGTTGGTACCTTGTAAATTTTCAGGGGTAGGGTTTACGAACGTGTCTGATATTTGTTAGACGAGGTCAATTCACATTTGAATGGAAGAATATCTTAGAAATTCAGAATCTTGATTTTTATATATACATCATATAATTTGTTTATGTATTGATTACTTAGAATGCACCTACGTCTATGGAAAATATAGTAATGTAACTGCACAAAATTTGAAATTACAAATTGCGGGTGGTTAGCGTTGTTGGTTTGAGTGGAATAAGCATAGAATTCCTGTTCAAATACTTACATGTATCCTCCCACAATTGAGAATTAATTAATCTGATTTGAACAATGTACCGAGAGCAAGTCCATCATCATATTTATCTGATTGTTCTAGTTGTATGTTTAGTTGTGCAAAATGCTTTAAAGACACACATAAATATTTCTCATTGATGTTCTTTTCTTTTTTTCGTGTTCCTAAATAGGCATACTGCTTATACAGAAATAACAAGCTAGACGAAGCTCTCGAGTCCTTGAAGAGGCAAGAGAGAGATTCTGTAACCATGATATTAGAATCCCAGATTTTATTTCGCTCAGGAAAGATGGATGCTTGTATTGATATATATCAGAACCTTCCAAAACCCAAGGTCGAATTGTTAGAGATAAATTCTGCAGCTAGTTTGGTTGCAGCTGGAAGGGCATCTGAAGTTAAACGTACACTGGAAGCACTTGGGGTTAAAGCAACTAATAGTTTTATGCTTGCATTCAACACTGCCTGTTCTTTGATTCAATTGCAAAAGTATACAGAGGCAGAGCAGCTCCTTCTGAAAGCCAGAAGGTAAAATGTTACTTTTATTTGTTGAATTTGACAACTCCCAAGCAAGTCATTTTTTAGGCAGTAAATGCTTTTGGTTGTTACTATTTCTCAGTCTTTAATTTGTACTACAACGCTATAAATTTTGTTTGGATTGATTTTAGAGTATCTTTTGAAGAAATTTTGAGACTAAGTATCACGGACTAAAAAGTTTTTGTGTAGATTTGGTTTTCCTCTCATTAATCCCCTGATTAAGTCATATGTATGTTTAAAGTGTCAATTATTTCCTCCCTCAGTAATAATTTCTCATGAATTGTTTTTGTATTTTAGTTTGACGTGTCCCTTTAGTAATGTTCTTAAAACCACCATTCACTTTGCTACTAAAGCGCCTTTCATTGTGTTTATACATTGCACAAATTGAGCTATAGAAACTCTTATCTGAAAGTGAGTATGAACTAATGGAGGTGATTCACTTGGTATCTTAGAATTGGCCAGGAAGAACTCTTCTCTGATAATGTACCTGAAGATGAAATACAAATTGAATTGGCGCCAATAGCTGTCCAGTTGGCCTATGTTCAGCAGGTAATATTGTAATGTTAAGTAGAATTTTCTCTTATCTTTTGCAAAGTTAGGAATCCAATAGCCACTGATGAAAATTAGCTTCTTCCTACAGCTTCTTGGGCAGAAACAAGAGGCCGTCGAAGCTTATACGGACATTATTAAACAAGATATGGCTGATGAAGTATCGCTTGGTGTGGCAGTCAACAACCTCATTGCTTTGAGAGGTCCAAGAGATGTTTCTGATGGCCTGAAGAAACTTGATCGACTAAAAGATAAGGACAAGCAAAACTTCCACCTGACTCCTGGACTAGACAATAAGCTTTCACCAAAACAAAAAGAATCAATATATGTGAACCGGGTTCTTCTACTACTCCATGCAAATAAAATGGATCAGGTCTTTCTCTTTGCTTTTTATGTCTTTTTGAGTACTATGCTGTGAATCTATCACATAAGTAAGCCATTATTGGTGCTCCAGCTCCCCTTTGCTGATCTCAACTCTTTGCTTCAAATTTACAGGCTCGAGAAATCGTTGCTGCACTGCCTGACATGTTTCCTGATAGCGTGATGCCTGTGTTACTTCAAGCCGCAGTTTTTGTAAGAGAGAACAGGGCTGGGAAAGCTGAAGAAATTTTAGGGCAGTTTTCCGAGAAGTTCCCTGACAAATCCAAGGTGGTTCTCTTAGCGAGGGCACAGGTTGCTGCTGCTGCTGGCCACCCTCTTATTGCAGCTGAGTCTCTTGGTAAGATACCTGATATACAGCACACGCCAGCCACTGTTGCTACTCTTGTGTCCCTTAGAGAGCGTGCCGGGGACATTGATGGTGCAGCTGCTGTTCTTGATGCTGCAATCAACTGGTGGTCAAATGCCATGACTGAGGACAATAAGCTTAGCGTTTTAATGCAAGAGGCTGCTTCATTCAAGCTCAGGCATGGCCGAGAAGAGGAGGCTGCCCATCTATACGAGGAGCTTGTGAAAAGCCATGGAAGTGTGGAAGCATTGGTTGGGCTTGTAACTACAGTTGCTCGTGTGGATGTTAAGAAGGCAGAAGCTTATGAGCAGAAGCTGAAACCGTTACCAGGTTTGAAGGGGGTCAATGTGGATAGTCTGGAGAAGACTTCTGGGGCCAAACACAATGAGGGTGTATCTCATGTTAAGATCACGGAGACATATGATGAGGGGAAGACTAAGGCCAAGGCAAAGAGAAAGAGAAAGAGAAAGCCAAAGTATCCTAAAGGGTTTGACCCTGCAAACCCAGGGCCACCGCCAGATCCCGAGAGGTGGCTCCCCAAGAGAGAAAGGTCAAGTTACAGGCCCAAGAGAAAGGATAAAAGAGCCGCTCAGGTAAGAGGCTCCCAGGGTTCTGTAGCTAGAGATAAACATGAAACTGGTGCCGCTTCCAACACTTCAAACACAAAATCAAACCAAGCAGCTACCTCGAAAGGAGCCTCCCAAAATGCAGCTGCAGAGCCATCCAAGCCTTCTTCGTCAAAGTCGCGAAAAAAATCTAGGAACTAGATTTTTTTGACAGGTTGCAGAATTAGACAATTTAATTTGGTGCCCTAGTGACTAGACAGAGATTTTGTAGTTAAATTATCGGCCTTTTTTCTGCCTCTGATTCAAGACGATAAAAAATTATGAATTTCGTAGGAAAATGGGTTCGGAACTTTATTTTTATGTCTTGTGAATTTCAGCTGTGATTTGATGTTTCACTCCATTATTCCAATTTGGTGTATTTTGTTAGGGATTGTGCCCATGTCTATGAGTTCTTACATTACATGCACCCGTCGGTACACCACTGTAACGTCCAAGCGAATAATATAAACCCTTTTTTTTTTTTTTTTAACGTAGCAACTCGTGATAAGTTTGACAGCTTTTGTTCCGTTTCATGCAAGTTTCTTTATCTCAGTCCCCGTGTTACCGGATGCGAATGCTTCATGCGTTGTGAATGCATGCACCAGAAATCTCACGGGCATTTTTTGTGCTCGAGCGGAGAATGGATTTGTTTAGTGGCGTGAAATGTGCAGATGCCTTATAAGTGTGGATTTCCTTGAGAACGTGAATTGTGAGATGCTTTCCAAAAGAGCATCTTTGAGAACTCCCACGTTATCAAGAATTCTTGGCCCTTGAAATTGGTCACCCTCCCGTCTCTCTCCTTAACGCCCAAGAAATAAACTTATTTATTTATACATATATTTCCTATTGTTTTTATTCATTATTTTGTTTTAAGCATCTCTTTTTTATTGGCTAAAAGCCTAAAACCTTCTAGAATGTGTTCATCTAAGTTCTTATTTGTTAAGGTTTATTTGCATTGTTCTGTTAAGTTTATCGACAAAACATCAACCACCATGTCAACATTTTTAAAAATCGAAGTATTAACATATCAGCAATATCAATTATATCATCAACGTTTCAATGATATATCTATATTATATAAAAGTGCAATTAACGCGCTTGAGAAAAAAAATATCAATCTAGACGTTTTTTTTTTCATTACTTCTTCTCCAAGGCTTGGACCATTTCAAAGCCATTAATTTCTTCTTATTTTTCATTTTTATAAACAAAAAAAGTAGTTTGTTATATTTTGGTTAGACCATACAATAGCTGTTCATTACCTCTCCATTTTCAAGCCCCACTTATCAACAACCAACCAATAAACAAGGCAACAAAACAAATAAATCAATCAATTCACCTAAATAACCAAATAAATGAATAAATAAATCAATATTCAAGAAGGGTAAAAATGTAAATTCCCTTGTGAAAGGTGTTAGGACAAAAGAGAAAGGATAAACTTCCCCAAGGGGGTTTTGAACTTTTGACAGAAGAAAAAGAAAAACTTGGGAAAGGGGTAGGGTTCGGATTATCCTAATATATAATGCCGAAAGCCACCGAGGCCCAATTAAATCCACCACGCGTAAAAGTGCGTCCCTGTGTGACACGCCAGCAACTTGGCCGCTTGGACGCAGAACCCAAACAGAAAGACAGAATTCGGATTATCGTCGAATTCTCTTTGTGAGGATTTTGAGAATCCGTTAATTCTGTCCGTTCATTATATATCATACGATTAGAAATTATTTTAAATATTTTTATTTAAAATTAAACACAAATAGTATTTGACAAAAACTGATCATATGATATACGATTCACTGATTCTCAAGATCCTCACCAAAAAGATCCGGAGAGGATCCTGTTGGAAGAAACTCTACCAACGCACACACCCAAACACGGCCTATCTTCCCTCCAACTTACGCTCACCTACCAAAGTACCAAACAGTAAAACCTCTCATCCTCAATGACTTATTTACCCTCCACCTGATGTGCAACGTCAAACGGTCATAAATGGAAACCCAAACCTAAATCCAATTTTTACTAAGACAAAAAGGGTAAAAAAGTGCATTAAGAAAATGGTAATCCTCACTGAGCTCTTGTTTCGTTGATAATATCAGGTAATCTATGTTTTTGTACGAAAATATTCGTTGAGTGTATATTACTTAATTAGATGTCAAAGTGTGTTATGTGACTTATATGTTTATATATTTAAAAAGTATAGTTTTCATTAAATACGAATTTTACTAAGACAAAAAGGAAAAAAAAAATACATTAAGAAAATGGTAATTTTCACTGAGCTTTCGTTTCGTTAAAATATCAAGGGAATTTTGTTTTCATACGGAAATATTCGTTGAGTATATATTGCTTAACTAGATGCCAAAATGTGTTACGTGTGTTATCTTTCCACATTTAAAGGGTTACTTTTCTTAAATAATGTTCTTATTTATTTTCCATTAATTTCTTAAGTTATAGTGTACAATTCGTAATTCAAATTTTTCTTTTTGTCCAATTTCAAAAAATGGAGACCCAATTGGCAAAAAACCTGAAATACAAGGTGTAATTATTAAAAAAAAATAGAGATTAATTAATTTAATTTGGAGGGTGAGAGAGTTGAAAGAGGGCGAGAGATGAGGCGGGGGAGAAGGTGAGAGGCTTCTGGGAATCAGAGCGAAACAAGGATTCCTCCTCCCGCCATATCTTACTGCGAAGAAGCGGTGACTCTTTCCAACTACCGACACGTGTCCTTCTCCCCACCCTCTCTCTCCTAAATTGGACAATTCACCCTCACCCTTCACTTTCTCTCTCTTCCCTTAATATTTTTCTCGCCTCTTTTTTTTTATTATTTCTACACGTTTATTCAATTTTCTCGGCGTTTCTCCTTCTCTCTCTCTCTCCTCTCTGAACTCGATCGACAAGCGCTTGTCCTCTGTTCGGATCGATTCCCCACCTCAGGAAAAGAGCAGAATGTTCTGAAAGCCCTAGAATTTCAATCGAATCGAGCAGAAAGCTGATATCTTTTTCTCCTTCTTCTTCTTCTTCTGCGAGGGTTCGGTACCAGGAGGCGGCTTTGGTTTGTCGATTGCGTTCGTCAGAGCAAAAACTAGGGTACGTGGTAATTGTTTCGATTCGTTTCTGATTTGATTTCAATTGGGTATCCCCCGAATTATCAGTTTCTCCTTCCAATTTATCGAAACTTTGTTTCTTTGATCCGTTCTGTATTGGGTATCTGTTTTTTTGTCGTTTCGTACAAACCCTAGGTTAGTCGAATAAAAAACCCCAAAAAAAGTTAAATTCTTTGATTCTTATCTCTGTAGATAAATAGGTTACGGCGTTGGTTTTTTCGTTTCCATTCCAGCTGATTTTAGGTTATTTGCAAGAGACTCTGTGAAATTTTTGGGCGTCGTTTTAGTTTGCCATCAGAAATTGAGGGTTTTCTTGTTAGATCTTCCTTCCCCTTGTTACATATTTTTCTATTTTTTCCCACACTTACTTGGTTAATCGAAAAAAAAAAAAAAGAGAGAGAAAAAGGGTTCAAAAATCTAGGGTTTGTGTATAGACTTATGTAGAGAGAAATTTGGTCGGGGTGTATATTCAATGGCTTTGAATTTTTCCCATCGACCAATCTTTCCGGGGCATCTGTCTGAGGACAATTTGGTTTCTCCAATGAGGATTGCCAATGGGTACCTTGTGGATGGTATACCTGAGCGGAATGGAGATGGTTTCGGTAGGCCTTGGCATTCAAACCGGGAAGTGGATGATTGCTTTGATTATGGAAGAGATAGATGTGATAGGGGTTGCTCACAGGATCCAGTTTCGAATGACATTCTTGATCTATTGCCTTCGGACCCTTTTGGCATGGATATAAGTACCACGTTTACAGCTATCACGGGCTGGCTTGAGGATTTGGAAGTGGACTATGGTGGTTACAGAAGGGATGAGGTGGGGACAAGTAACGATAACTATGAACTTTTCGCGGGATTGAATTTTATCTGGAATAATGCTATGAGGTTCCAGGCATTCCCTGGGAAAATTGGGGTCGATCACAAGGCTAATGTGGCAAGTGGATTCGGTGGGTGCTCAAAAGAGAAGGGAGTTGGTGATGCGCCGTTACACAGCGATTTTGGATCAGCATGTCCAGTCGCTGACGTTCTGAATTTGGGCAATGGAAGTTGTGGTTTTTCCAATCAGCAAAATGTAGAAGTCCAGCATGACTATGGGATTTGTGCTGGCAGTGATGGAGGAGCTCCTCATGGGGCGATGATGTTTGCCCTTGGTTATCTGGGGGTGCAGGATCTTCTTCATGTAGAAGGTACTTGCAGATCTCTCCATTCTACAGTTCGCGGTGACCCCCTTTTGTGGAGAAATATTCACATAGATCAACCGCTGAATGAGAAGATTACCGATGATGTTCTCTTGAAATTAACCGATCGGGCTCAAGGAAATCTGCAGAGCTTGAGCCTAGTGGAGTGCCCAAGGATCACTGATGATGGTCTGAAGCGTGTGCTTGAAAGTAATCCCAGGCTAACCAAGGTTAGTTTTTGGCTTCTGGATTTTATCTCAACTGTTGCTAGCGTTTTTGCCTTCAATTTTTTTTTTATTATTGTCTCCTTACAAGAAGTATATCTCTGCACCACCATTCACGGTTATTACCTGTTTACCTTAAATTTCTTTGACTTGTGCTCAGAGTTAACTCTAGTGAAGAAAAATTTGATTGTTTTTCATGTTCATTAACTTCATTTAAATGTTCCCTTTATTTGTGCAGTTGAGCGTGCCTGGATGTACTAGACTCAGTATTGAGGGCATCGTGAATAGCTTAAAGTCTTTCAATTCTAAGGGTGCACAAGGTGTGAGGCATTTACGAATTGGTGGACTATATGGTGTGACACAGAAGCATTTTGAAGAATTGAAGTTCTTGTTGCGAACTGACGGTCAGATGCAGCCTAATCCACGCAAGCCACACTTTTATCACAGAGGGAACTTTTACCTGCCCTCTGATGATGATAGCGACATTGATATTGAAATGTGCCCTAGATGCCAGAACCTGAGGCTTGTCTATGATTGCCCTGCCGAGGCTTGTCAAAGGAAAGAACATCCAACTCAGGTATGCAGGGCCTGCACACTTTGCATAGGGAGGTGTATTCAGTGTGGTCGGTGCGTTAATGATTGTGAATATGAGGAAACATTTTGTTTGGAGTTGCTTTGCTCAGATTGTTGGAAGCAGCTACTTGAGTCTCAAGAGACACAGGATGGAATATACGGTCCATCCAAACCTTTTGTTCTCCATGAACGGAATGATACCTTTGGTCGGCATGGCTAGGCTCTGTTGGTCCTGTTGATCTGCTGGTTTCGTATTATGGATGAGTAAATTACAAGGGGTTACTAAGGTATCCAATCAGTTTAAGATTATGGTTCCTTTGTTGCATACCGCTTGGTCAGCTGGCTTTGTTGGGTTTAGTCTATTGGTTGACTTCAGCTTTGGCGGTTTGTATCTCATCTGGGGCTCCGAGCCCACTGCTAGTATGTCGTGATGAATAGAAAAAAAAATGTAAAAAAATAAAAACAAAAGAGATGGAAATTTTATGAGTGAAGGAGATTGTGAACAAAGTTCTGCATCCACTGTCCACGGCGGGGAATTTTGTTCTGGTGATTCCGTTAGTTGGTTCTGCATGAATAAATGTTCTACGGGGAGTATGTTCATTTGCCTTTGAATATTATGTATGAAGTCCGTTAGCATCTGACCACAATGCGAGGTAGCCTACCAGAGCAGTCAACAGCAGGGAACTACTACTTGTAGAGAGCAAAGTGGAAAGGTAACTTATTTGTTGTACCTCATCCATTGTGCTCCGTGAACTCTATGCTGGCGCATGGAAGCGGTCGTCGGTTACTTGTGAAGTGTTTGAAGCGTGAAGAGGAGTTACGTTGTTCATTTTTTCCAGTTGTGCAGCAGTTTATGTTTCGAAGATTGCTGCTGCAGTAGCATGCTCATCTGTGACCTGCTATTTGTGATGAAGCCCTGAGCAGGACTGGATCCTCTACCTGGCTTTATATACTGTACTGATTTTCCTTCATTGTCATATATATTGCCACTCCACAGATTCGTTCTTGTTTAGTCAAAGAATGAAGCTACGATTGTTTCCTTCCACTGGAAACGATGTTGTTCATTAAAGACCGGGCATGTACGTTGTTAATAAGAGACGGGCTTGTCCCTTGTCCATACAAGGCCGTGCTGGTACGTTGTTCTTGCTATGGAGGACGACTTTCGTCCGTCTCAGTTACGATTTATGGCAACTTCACTGTATGTTATCTTTCGTGTGTGCATTGAGCACAAAATTATCAGCTTCTTTTCGGTCGAAGCGAATGTTGTAAAATGTACTTTCGCAATCAAGTTATGGTTTTATGTAAAAGTGAGCAAAGCTATTGCTCTTGCTATGTGTATTCTCTATTCTCCACTTTCCTTGGATATATTATTCTCTTTTTCTTACGATTTTCCCACATGTTCTTTCATCTTTTATATTTTTATCCATTGGCACGTACGTTGATCGTTGAGGCCACAATCCTTTCAATTGTTGATCTTTTGATCATGTTTTGTAACAATGTTGTCCCTGTCGAAGTTGGGACAGAAGTAGACTGCTCTAGTCAATTTGGCTACGGATTTGTGAAGTTGGGACAGAAGTAGACTGCACTAGTCAACTTGGCTACGGATTTGTGAGATGGAGAACTTACCAGCTTCACGAAGATTTGCAAATACTACACAGAAACATAAAAAGGGTAATGCTAAGAAGACTAAATTTGTAAACAAAATTGTGTAAACTAAATTATATGTAAATTGATGATTGGATTATTACCTGAATACTGATAAACATACTCATTCCTATTAGTGAGACATCATGTAGCTAATAAATTTTATCTATAAATTTAGTCTCTCTAGTATTATCCAAAAAAAAAAACATGCTTCTTACTTACAAAGCCGACCCTTCAAAAGTTGGCTTAGCTCCTACTCTTCCTCGAAGTGGAGGCAAGGAAGAAGTGTGTTTTGGTTATGTATGAGCATCTTCAAACGGAAAGTTGTAAATTTCTAAAGATGTGAAGATCACATTTATATTTTATTTTATATTTTCAAGATATGTAAACATGAGTTCTACCTCAACGCAGTGTATGTAAATTTGAGATCTATTTTTTTTTTTGCTATAATTATTGGGGCCTACCTTTGAAGGATGTATATGTACATTTTTTGGCTAAAATGAGTATTTTACATTCCGTTTATTGGAGAGCTTTCCATCCAACCAGAAATGTAAAGTGCTCAAACATTGGCATTTTACATCTCCTATTAGAGATGCTTTAGGTCTAAGAAAAAGATTATTCACGTTTTTTTATGGCTCTTTCATATATATAGAATTACGTCGATGATGTGGATAAAATTAATTTTTTTCACATGATAGCGCGTGATGACTTGAAACATTGTCACCATAACGTTGTCATCTCATGCGCAAGGATGTTTCTCTCGCCATACATGCGTGGTCCAACACAACACGACATTGATCATATATACGCTCACATTTCATGCGTGGGCCTAACTGAAATATTCGCTCAGAAACAAAGAAAGACATCCATTTTTGCTGCACATTTTACTTCTTGTTGGCGACAGAGACGGATCCATGCGTCTGTCACGGACACGACTGCTTACGACAATCAATATTCAAGCGACGAGATGCTCATGTGATGATATCTCAAGCAAATCATGTTGGAAAATTAAAATGCAAGACGATACGTGATTGATTGATATACCTCTATGGTAATATACCGGTTATACGTTACTTCATTTTTATGATGTTCCATTTTAATTTACAAAAAGCAATAACATTGATTGTAAATTAGCTAAGAAAAACGAGAAAATTAATTGATTTTTTTTATTATTAAACCATTTTTTTCAACAGAAAATATGAAGACAAATGGGATTAACTGGTTAGTGACAATATATAATGCTGGAAGAAGCTACATTGTTCAACAGTGTAGTGTTTTATTGCCCATCTTCTTTCTGAGTTTTCTTCTTGAGCTTCTCCACCCACTTGAAGCTCAAAATCGCCTTCCCGAAGCTGCTCTTCGATCCATCCTTGCCCTTCTTCTTATCCTTGTCGGATGATCCCGATGGCGGCGGGTCGGGGTTGTTGTCCCATTGATCAGCCCAGGACAGACCAGAATCCATTGCCCTCTTCTTTTTTTCTTTTCTTTCTCGTGTTCTTCTTTTCCGAGGTTAAAAACTTCTTTTAGCGACAGAGCTTTGGCAATTTGTTGCAAAAGGGTTAGTTTGCTTATTTTAAGCCAGTGCTGTTTTTTCCTTTAATTTAATCGAAAGGAAAATTGTTTGGCCGAAGTTCGTTATGTTTGATGAACAAGTTTAGAAATTTGTCCAACGGTCTTTTGCTTATTATGCAACTCGATATTTCTCAAACCAACTCGATTATCCTTAATTCGGTCACGTTCCTTATTGGACTAAAGTAGTTAGTAATACACTCGTTTTCTTTTGTCGAAATTCACGTGATGCCAAAGATATATAACAAACATTAACAATTGGTTACACGCAAGATTTTGCCATTTCTATCAACTGCTGTTGACCGAGTCTAGCAGTAGGCAACGAGCAGTCAAGTCAAAACTCCAAATTCTAAATCCATGCTAAGCCTTTCAGACAATGCCTGTTTTGGAGAATGGTATTTTTCTCATCTTAGAAAGCCATTTCTTCTCCAATGTCGTCGGTATTTCCATAATCTCGCTGAGATATGCACGATTCCGATGTTCCCGACAGAAATGGAGGAAAGTTCTTGACTGGTGAAGGTATTCATCCAAAATAAAAGAAGCAAATTCAAAACAAATAAACTGTTGTCATTGTTAAAATCTCTAATTCGGTCAAAATTAAAAGTCGATTAAGTACATATTGACGACGTAGCACCCGAAATGTCCATGAGTATGAGCTCGATAATTTCATCCTCGGGTTCTACTAGTATGGTTTTCTGGCTGATCAAGTTGCAGGACAGAGTCAGATATTGGAGACCAAAAGTATCTAATGAACCAGAAATAATCGAACCATATAAATACACCATGAGATGCAATACAATTGACAAATGAAATCGCGAACCGTAGGATTACAATTTAAAGCATCAAAGGTAGGGAAAAAAAAATAAGGATCAATTTCCCTCATCCCTTGACTTAAACCTATCGTCTAGAAAAATTCGACATGACCTGCAATTTCTCTGCACAACAGCTTAGACTCGCTGGCAAGCTTCAGGCTTTTGACAATGGCAAGCCCTGTTTGCTTGTGTGTAGAAGTCGGAATATATTTCTTGGCTTCTTCTTCTTTCCCCAGCAATAGAGCCTCCCTCGCCGGAACCACATTTTCCCACCAGAATTCCCGTAAAATTCCATGCATCAAGTTCCAGTAACTCCGGTCCCTGCACACGCGAAATATTGTGCTTCCATTCGGTGTCCAGCAGTACAGATCAACCCACTCTCTGTCCATTACCTCCATTTGGCCCTGCACCTGAGGCATGTAATAGAAAGGCATGGTTGACCAGGGAAGAGCCTTGTCAGGCTTGCCCTTGTTGTACGGACACTTCACTTCCAGTATCCCACCGCCTTGATAGCAATCAATAAGACCCTCAAGAAGACCGTCAGGGGAGGCACCAATCCAACCATATCGCTCATCTGCATGGGTAGCAAATCCATATGAACCCACTTCGCGACCTGTGATGCTTTTGTACTTTTCAATGGCCACTTCTTCATTGAGCATGCCCCACTCCATGGCTCTCTTAGAAGCTTCCACAATTTGTTTCTCGGATTCAAATACCTTCTCATGCCAGAGCTCTGGCCGGCGGGTCCCCTTCCAAAATCCCAAGGCGGTGCTGAAGGTGCTTGTGGTCAGCTTATCCTTGCGTAGGGCAAACCACTCCTCTGATCGCTGGGGAGCATCAGATGGTGAAAGCCGGGTGGCTAGCACTAGCGATGATGGGGGGCGACGAATGATAAGAGGGGAAATTGGAGAGATCAGTGGTTCGGTGCATGTGGAAAAAGGTCTCAAAATCTCTTTCCTAAACCATATCTTTCTTGAGGATAGCAATCCTACTGCTTTATGGAGAGATCTGCAGAACATGGAGCAATAGGCATTACTTGTTGCTGATCTGACAATGCCATCCATACCTACTTTGTTTCGTTGAAGGGTCCTGCAAAAGCTACACACTGCTTGAAAGTTTAGCTGAAGAAACTTCTTGAATGGATATTTTTATCAACATTTGACACGAAAACATTGCGGCATTGATTTACAAAATCAACACACAAAATTCATCAGAAACAACGCAAAATCGGTTTCTTCGGCACATTTAACATTACACAACCAGGCAGTAAACTTCTCCTTCATAAACAAAAAACTGAAAGCGAAGCATATTCTATTGTTCCTCCTTCACGACAAGCATTGATCCTTCTATCAGAGATGGAACTGAATATTCGATCCTTCCTACTTAATGCATCATTCCAGTCACGGTATTCGAAATGCGAAACATTCGAAAACAAGAAAATCAAAGGACGAATGCTTACTCTAAATACAAGTAATGCTACCGAGGAAAAGAAAGTAGAAAACCCAAAAAGCTCAACTTCCTCCCCCAATCTCCCAATTCGATTTCAGAGACAAACCCACATGATTAGCAGTCCTTAATTCGAACATGAGGGAGATAAAAAAAACATATTGCACCGAAGGTGTTTGATTTAATACCTGAGAGACGGCTCGGACTAAAGGCTCCGACTTTGGGAGCTGCAGAGGAAGCAGGGCGTGGCTTGGGAGTCCGAGAGGTCACTCCTCCATGGAGAAAATACAGAGAAGCTCTGGACCGAGCGGCAGAGACTTGGATGAGCTTCATCTGTTACAAATTTCCGGCAACCATTTTTAGGGTTTTGTTTCCGGCAAAATTTTAGAGAGAGAAGAAGATCTTAGGGCAGGTAGCGGTCTAGATGATAACATTTTTCCAAAATCCAAGACGCCACGTATTTTTACCTCTCTGTTAACGACGTCGTTTTACTAAAAGCGGCTGCAAACGCTGCGATTAAAGTTCGGAACTTTGAGTAGCTCGTTAACCGGAGAGAGAGAGGAGAGAGGAGAGAGCGCTGAACTCTTTCTTCTTTCTTCGCTAATCAAAAGACAAAAGCTTTAAATTCAAGCACTTTCCTCCCCTCTCTGTAGCTTCTCTCTACTTTCTCTCTCTGTCTCTGAGCTGAGAGAACCCCAAAACTCACCGACTGCAAAAAGTAACAAAAATGTGTTAGTTCTGCTGCTGATAAGTACTTCACTTTCTTCTTCTCCTTCTCCCCACTATCTGTCTGAGTCGGAATCGGACCCACAGTCATAACTCTCTCCCCTTTAATTTCCACACCCACGGCATGTACTTGTTGGAGAAGCCTCAACCAATTGATTTCTACAAGGGCAGTCGGGACATGATGATGGAGGTGGTCGTTTCAAACGAGGAACTCTCCCAATCCCAATCTCAAGCTCATCTCCACCCACCGCAGCCGCAGCAGCAGATGCTGATGGGGGACAGCAGTGGGGAGGACCACGAAGTGAGGGCGCCGAAGAAGCGAGCTGAGACTTGGGTGCAAGACGAGACCCGTAGCTTAATAGCCCTCCGCCGTGAGATGGACAGCTTGTTCAACACCTCCAAGTCGAACAAGCACTTGTGGGAGCAGATTTCGGCGAAGATGAGGGAAAAAGGGTTCGATCGGTCGCCGACGATGTGCACCGACAAGTGGAGGAACTTGCTGAAGGAGTTCAAGAAGGCTAAGCACCATGATAGGGGAAGTGGGTCTGCAAAGATGTCGTATTACAAGGAGATTGAGGAGATTTTGAAGCAGAGAAGCAAGAATCCGCACTACAAAAGCCCCACTCTCCCAAAGGTCGATTCTTTCGTGCAATTTTCGGATAAAGGTATCGAGTTTTTCTTTCATTTTTTTCTGAATTTTCAGGTTGCTGTCTGAATATTTATGTTCGAATTCGAAGTGGGGTTGTTAAACTTGAGCTGAAATTTTTAGTGTTTTGAAGAAAATTCTTAAATTAGAGGGGTTGGGATTGGTTGTCTTCCCTTTTATGTATATGTTGGTTTTCTGTAGTTTTTCCATTTGTGCAAGTGCTTCGTGTTTCTCTGAATTTGGTACATTATTAATCTGTTAGAAAATAAATTTAGAGGGTTTCATTTATTGTTTCAATTTAGAAATGTTTCTGTCTATGGAAATGGCTATAATTAGTAATGTGGAGTATGACCGTAGTTAAGTCAACGTCTTCAAACTTTAGATGAATTGAGTAGTTCCTGCAGTAATTGCTCTCTAAGACATAGATATGATAATTCTGCATGCGCATCTGGGTGTGATGGCTAACGATAAATACAAGATATGAAAATCATGATGTGATTTGATGTTATTTATCGGAAACGGACTGTGTGGTAAGTTAGTTTTGAGTATGTTGCACGCCACTTGATTGCGATCTGGAATACTGGGTTGGGTGAGGCTGAGGTTCATGACGCTTAATATGCAGTCTGGATGTATTTTGCAGTTTTGGCTATGAGATTGCACATCTAATAAACCAGTGGAGGGGAATTAACAGATTAGTGTGACCTAGTCAAACTCAAAAGTCATTTTGTTCTTGGTTGAGACTTATGTTGAGAACGGAAACTCACTTCATATGATTGCTTCCCAACAATCTTGTGCTTTATGTAAATGAACAGAAATATGAGGCTAGAAGCAAGAAAGAATGTTTGGGTTTTCTTGTCCTCTAGTTTGGAAATGTACTCTGTTTGCATTTGCTTTATATTATAAAAGATGGATAAGGTATTGGCTTATTGTGGCAACGCATTGAATTTGTCCTTTTTCTTATCACTGTTGATTATAGAGGTGTCGTATGCTGGGTTTCAAAGCATGTTGACGCGCATGAGACGTTGTGTAGTATTTAGTAAAGTATTGAAGGCGCTGCTTCGTACAAAACAAATCTTATATACAAGGAAAATTTTCATGTCTAATTATTTTTCTGTGTCTTGGTTGTTTTTTTCCGACTTCATGGTACTATGGCTTCTGTCCTGAGACATTGTAGGCTGTATAAAACACCATTTCCTGTGACAATATCCACTGACATCAACTTCAGATGTTACATTTTCTATAGTGCGTTCTAAAGACTTTATCAAATAAAGACACGTTGTGAAGTTGCAAGAAATGCATAACTTTTGTAAACGGACAATGGGGGGACTTATCTGTTGAGTTGCGCTGTTTGAAGCGGCCTTGCAATTTGGGGTGGGCTGTGTGACCTTACCTTGTGGGGTGGGGGAAAGTTAGGAATGGGCTGGGCTGGTTCTTATGGGTTTTCATTTTTTTTTTTTTCCTTTTCTTGTCCTAATTTGGGGAGCACTGCAACTCAGGTGATCCTTGCCCATGTTCGTCTCTGTTCCTTATGCATCAAGTGCTGCATGGGGGATTGCACAACTCATTCCTTTTCTTTTCCTTCACTTGGGTAGTGCCTTGTGTTCTTTAGTCTTTTCTTTTGAAAATTCTGCTATTGTATCACCTAGTTGGACTTGGATTTAGGGGTGAAATGTTATAACTAGTTCATACGGGTGAAAATTTTGCAACATAAATGACTTCTTCTTTCCGCACCTTTCCATTGTCTATGTAGTTGAAAATCCATTTGACTGATTTTCTGATCATGTAGGTATTGAAGATGCAAGCATTTCTTTTGCACCTGTTGAAGGTATATTAATTAATTTAATTTAATCTGAGTTTTAGTATTCTGGTGGGTGTTTATATTGTTTCATCACCTAATTACTGGCTAGTCTGATAACTCTTGATCACTCTAAGAAATTATGATTACTTATCTTTTGGGGAATGATCAGTTCGTTAAGGTTATTCAGGTACAACCATCTCAAATAGCTCATCTCATGGCTCTTGTTGGATATTACTAGCATACTAGATGGCATTCAAGATTCAATGACCAGTGACTAAGCTTTTTTCTTCTTTTTTATTGTCAACGCTGATTTCTGTTTGTTCTTTTCGTTTTGGCCAGAAATGATGAGTTCTTCACTTTGTAAGCCAAAATTGGAGCATATTAACTTCTCTGCGTGTTTCATGTCCTATGTTCTGCTTCTATATATCATATTTTTCCCAAGTCATTTTTTCTTTTCAAAGAGACATCTATCCTCTCTTTTTAAGTTCCTTGGTGTGCAGCTAGTGGCAGGCCAACACTCAATCTTGAAAGACGTTTGGATCACGATGGTCACCCTCTTGCCATCACTGCAGCTGATGCAGTTACGCCAGGTGGAGTTCCACCATGGAATTGGAGAGAAACCCCTGGAAATGGTAAGTATATTAATTGAAGTTGTGAAATTTGCTCAACAGGCATCTTGTTATATGTGTTTATGCTCCAAACGTTTTTTTGCGGATGAGTTCATTTATTTCAAATTCTTTTTGTTTCTTTTTTTCTTTTTTGGCAGGTGGGGAGGGTCAAGCATATGGTGGTAGAGTCATATTAGTCACTTGGGGTGATTATACTAGAAGGATTGGTATCGATGGCTCCGCAGATGCCATTAAGGATGCAATTAAGTCTGCTTTTAGGTTGAGAACAAAACGCTCCTTCTGGTTGGAGGATGAAGACCAGATAGTCCGAAGTCTTGACAGGGACATGCCTCTCGGGAATTACACTCTTCATCTTGATGAAGGTATAGGTTACATATCAACCATAATGAATTTAAATGTTACTTAGCCATCGGCTAAATGAAAAAATGGTTGAAAATTATATTGTCGTTTGGTCCCCCACTCTTATAATGAAAACTTGATGCTAAAGTCCTAATTTCAGGGGTGGCCATCAAAGTGTGCCTCTATGACGAGTCGGACCACATACCAGTGCATACAGAGGAGAAGCTATTCTACACGGAAGAAGATTATCGCGAGTTTCTGTCCCGCAGGGGGTGGTCGTGTCTGAGGGAGTTTGATGGGTACAGAAATATTGAAAATATGGATGATCTTCGCCCGGGTGCAATATACCGCGGTATGAGTTGAGGCTACCAGACGTCCCCTTGTAATGTTCCCTTCTCAATGTAGTAGTGGATAGTTTATGGATCCTTTTTTTGTTCAGTGCTGCACATTGTGTATTATGGTAGATCAAAGACGATTTTATCTTTTGGACAGTGGCCTCTGCTGTTTGTAATTATATACGTTTGAAGTTACAAACAAGTTTCTACACATCATTACCTCCTTCCATATTCATTTCATTTATGCCTTATGGTTCTTCTGCTTCTCTTTTTTTATTTTTTTGACAAGTCAAGGTGCCTTTTGCTAATCATTTCATTTTCAGTTAATTCATTTTTTGGTTATTAAACGGCTCCTAAACTTTTAATTTTCTGTTAATCCAATTTTCCGACCGACTAGTATGAGTGGTCTTATTTTTCCTTATTGGTGGTCACTCATGGGTAAATTGTTCAGCAAGACTGTCACATCGACATGTAGTATATTTTATCGTGCACACATCATAACTAGTGTATCAGTAACATCATTTACATGGTGTGACCTTGCTCAAATTTTCCTGACAGCATCTCCAGTTAGGGGTGTATATAGAGATGTGCAACACATAATACATTTCTTGTTGGCCGGAAAACTCTCTCATGAGCAATGTTTTTGAGACAAATCCAAATATACCCTTTTTTTTTAAATAGAGCCCAAATTAATTTACATCTCGATTAAGACAAATCCAAATTTAGTTCACACTAATTCAAAATTTTGGTACCATTTTATTGGGCCCAGCATATGCTGAAAGCTAAAACATTAGTGAGTTGTTTCATGCGATTTAAGTGATCTGTGTGTGCTGCATTTCGAAGAACATGGGAACAACAGAATCTATTTTTATATATGAAAGCTAATACATTCGATGACTTGTCTGGTACGAAATGAATACAACTCAAAACACGCGTTCCACCCACCAACGTACAAATTATACATCCAACGCCCATGTCGAAAACATCAAGACGGAAACACACTTACGGATAGTTCAATAAACAATTTCTCTCATCCTCGTCCCAACCGTTGTAACAAATTGTGAATAAAAGATTCACAATACCAAAAGTCCACGAAACATGGATACTGGTTACCATCCCCCTCCTCCTCTTACTGCTCGTCCCATTCGTCATTCTTGTACGACACTAGAGTGTCAACCTTGTGAATCTGCATGATCCAGCAAACAAATTAACTGTCAGCAACACAAGCATTTCCCCTTTTTTACGGTGAAGAGATTATCTAAATGCATGAAAATAATAAAATGGGAATGCAATTTCTTGAACTTGCCTTGGTGTCAAAGGAGTGCAGTTTCACTATTTCTGGATTTGCAATCAATTTCGGATCACTCTCGATCCAAGTGAATGGGACTGCAACATCTTTATCCGTGTACGCCAACACATCAAACACACCTAAAGCAAGCAATCGAACAAATGAACATGATGAATACCAATACGAATAAGTAAACCATTTGGATAAGTGAGTGTGTTTGTCTTACACCTAAAGCAAGCAATCGAACAAATGAACATGATGAATACCAATACGAATAAGTAAACCATTTGGATAAGTGAGTGTGTTTGTCTTACAGGGTTCATCAAGGCATGGCAAGTAAGTGATGCTCGAAGCAATCTGTCTCATGATCGCTTGAATCTCCCTCATGATTTCCTTGTCACTCTTTTCCCTCGACACGCTTAAATCAAACATAACAAAACAATGAAACATGATTTAGAAATGAATAAAACAAATTGGAGTCTCATGATCGCTTGAATCTCCCTCATGATTTTCTTGTCACTCTTTTCCCTCGACACGCTTAAATCAAACATAACAAAACAATGAAACATGATTTAGAAATGAATAAAACAAATTGGAGTTTCATGCAACACGGGGGACTAAATAACCCAAAATTGAATTGAATTACCCCTTCTCAACGACCTCTCTGTCGGTCTCAATGCTGAAGTTCCACCTCTCCAGAACCTCATTGGTGGCCTTGCTCATTATGACCAGAACAACTCTCTGTAACTTGCCAGATTCCAGCCATTCTTTACAAAATGAATAAGTACATCGTGTCAAACTTTTCGGTATCGACGTAATAAAATAAATTAGACCCAAAAAGGGTAGAAAAGTACCAGAAAGCTGGGCAGTTAGGTTGGCAATAAAGGATTTGAGGCCCTCGTCTTGAGTAAGCAACATTGGCAGTCCATATTTCTTCACCTTCACAAAGCTTTCCTCAGGATACACTCCTCGATTGTACAGAATACTAAAAGAATACCCAAATTCCAACCAACATTAACTTCAATATCTAACAAATACATATCCCAAATGAAGCAAGCACAAAAAAAGATAACACAAACAACAAGATCAAAGACCAATATCCCATGCCCATTACCTGTTTGCAGAATATCCTGAAAGAAAAAACGCAGAAAAAACACAAAATACAGAGATCAGACAAAGATTTCTCGGAAACCGAAAAATACCCAACAAAGAAAATGAGAATCAAATCCAATCGACATAAAACTACCGAAGAACTCGCTGACGATGGCGGCAGAGCCACGCAGAGTGATGATATCTTTGGTCGCTGCTTTTGAAGCCATTACTACGATGCGCTTCCAAACACAGTAAAGATTCTACCCAACTTTCTGTTTGGCAAGAAAGAAAATACTGAACTTTCCAGAGAAAAAAAAGAAGAAGCGGTTTTTGAGTTGTCCGCGATGAGGAGGCTGAAGAAATAGATTTCAGGGCTTTGAGAAAATCGACTAAAAGTAAAGTAGTGCAAATGCAACGGCTAGTTTTTTTTTTTTTTTTTGGCTATTCCGTCCGTCCGGGGCCTAACGGTAACATTTTTAAATTTGCGCCATTTTCTGGTATGAAATTATGGAAGTGGGCCGGCTCTTTAGATTCCAGCGTCAGCGGGCCATGTGTGCTGCCACGTAACGAGGCCGAGAAGGAAACGGGAAAAGGATCCGGGAATCCCGTGATATTTATATTTAATTTAAATTTTATATTTTAAAATGATTTTTGACCACACGATATATGATTAACGGTTATGATCACAGAATTCCCCGGATCCCTAGGAAAAGGATCCAGCGAGGATTCTGTTCCAAGGAAACGTGCAAACTGACTGAAATAGAATACGAAAGATTTTTTCGTGTCCCCGAAACATAGTGCAGATCCATGTCATTATACAATTGAAGAAACACTTGAAACAAAAACTTCTCTCCATCACTTAATACTACAGTTTAGTGGTATCTCTTCACTTGTAAGTGATAGAAGCTTAGCGCACTCGCTCACCTCCTTAATATAGATAATATCATTTGTTCAAAAAATAAAAAAATCTTATCTCTAATTATATAATGACATGTGATATCCGTCATGTGTTCATGGCTCACTGAAAAATCTCATATAGGACATTACTTGTTTGGTCGGACAGGACGAATACGACATCCAATAAGGGAACCCGTGGCTGCGAGGCGGTCCTGAATTTTGTTGGATGTACACAAAGGCCCAAGTGTGTCAGGACCGAACCTGTTAAAACAATTTCCTTCTTCATTTTCTTCATCTCTGTATACATATCATAACTTGTGGAACTCAAATTTCAATAGCAAATGAAAATAATTATTGGTGGTGTTTGTTCTCATCTTCTATGCTGTCTTTACCAGTTGAACCCTTAATCGGGCTAAATTAATAACATGGTGTATGTGATACAATTATAACACGACGTGCGTGATACAGTTATAACACGACCAAACATATCTAACACGACGTACATGATAAAGTTATTGTGTGTATCACAACTAGTACTTGAGGTACAATTATGCATTTTACACTCTGCAACCCATAAAGAAGAAGATGAGACTACAATATTCATGCATACAGCATAACACAAAAAAAGGGTGCAGAGACGTGTGACCCAAGTCAGTGTAGGCCACATTCAAACCCTAGCAAACCTAACTACGATTCTCATACGATATCACATAACCCTACTATATATATACTGTTCTTAGTACTGACCCCTCCATTTTCGATATCTACAGGCAATTGGAAGATCCAATCATGACCTATCATATTATCTCCAATGCATATTGCACTACCTGCCAGCTGCTGAATATTCCAAGTTTTTGTGCGAACATATACATATATATATACGTGTACGTACACATATATATATATATTTGTCAGATAGCAAGACACAGAAAGCTAACTTCTGCAGGAACAAAAATGAAAAATGTGTGTATGGTCATTTGCCCAAGTGGGGTCATAATATATGCAAAGGGTCAAAAAATTTGTGGCCAAACTTAAAAGTGTGGTATACAAACTAAAGGAAAGCATAGGAAGATTCATCATCCGTGCTGGAGCTTTCCAGAAAATGGTACACAGGCGTGAAATGAAAACTCCACAAGGCTGGTTTTGTGGGTAAGTGCGTGCGTGCGTGGTCCTCTCCTCTTCCTCTCCGGCTTTTTTTCCTAGCTATATACATTTCAAAGAAAACTCCATATATCATACGAACCTACTTTTCTTCAGAAAAATGTCGACACCATGTGCTCATTCATTTCCTCATTTCTGCACACTCTCTCTAGATTTCTGGTTTACACTTCAACCTAATTTCGGGGAATTGTGCAAAGACTTGACGTGCAGTCTGTATCTTGATGGAAACTGATGCGCATGCATGGGTTTGTTATCACAGTGTATACTGAAGATGCTAGCTCAGAATATTCGGGTCAGGTTTGAGATATGCACTCAAAATTCAAAAGTCCTTAGATGCTGCTGTTGCGGTTGTGGATATATATACATACATACATATGCATATATATATATCAACATGTATCCTTTCTGGTTGTGTTCTGGTTGTGGACCTTGTGGTTGTGGATATGCACTCAAAATTCAAAAGTCCTTAGTGGCTGCCGTTGTGGTTGTGGATATATATAACATGTTCCTTTCTGGTGTCACGATTTAATTAATTCCTTATAGTCATGTACCACGAAAGGGGCCCAAAAGACGCATGGGGTTGAACCGAAAATATATACAAAAGCAAAATGAGAGATGGCTACAGGGAATAAAATAAAGGAGACAAACACTATATAGTATACTTTATAGAAGGAAAGAGATTCTCTCTTGATCTCTTTCATTAAGGTCACCAAATCAAATAATTTGAGTTTTTGAAATTTCATCAAACGATCTACCTGTTTTGATTTTTTAAAAGTTA